AAATTGTATTTCCGGAGGGGATATTGAGGGATCTGATGTGTCGGATTCTGGAATGATGGAGTAGAGTACCAAGAGCGCCTGTAATCGACAGGAGGGGGTTAGCTGGTATAGCCCCGCGCGCAGATCTGCTCTAGGCTCAGACATACAGCTGCATTTTTCTTGGGCTCTAGCTCTTTGGTTACGCAGTGATGAGGGGATCCTGGCTGGAAAATGTATCGAGTGAGAGGCTGTGATCATATCACAGGGACAGGGGGACGTTAATGGTAACCATAAATCAACTACCCGCACCAACCGACCAAATAGTAGTCGCCTTACGATTGTATGTCCAGGATCAGAGACTTTGAGGGGAGTGAGTCAACCTTTCTCCGTGATGGTGGATCGATCTAGATATCTTTTTATCTTTCTACAGATCGCGGAGATGATATATGAGAAGTGGTAGGTCGAGGCGGGCGTGCATGTGCATGCTTGCTCGCTTTGTTGTTGCTGTTGTGCGAAGTAAGAGTGAGTATAGTAAAATAATGCATAGTGCTCCTAGAAGTTTTTACGATATTGACATAGTGAATATGTTTAAGAGATGCGTAATGTTCACGCATCTGAAACAGGCAATGGAGAAGTTCATATGATCGATGATATATATGATATACTGTCGAAATTCTTTGTCAAAGACACATCAGCTTGTTTCCTCTCGTTATGCCACCTATCTAAATTAGGAAAGTAAATTTCGGCATAAATTCTGCCTTGTCGAAATTGCCTTATAATATTTTATCGGAGATAGGCGAAATAGTTCAATTGAATCTCAACGTTGGCGGGGATTTTAATTTTCCTAACTTTTTAAAAATAGAATTAGTAGATGCATGAGTTTGTGAGCTTATAATCGGAGCTGTATGTGTACTTAGTACGTGTAGGTGCATGTATGTAGTGATTTGTAAGGTTGAGCCGAGGTATTAGTGAACGTTTGGTTTCAGGAAATGGACCATACACAGTCAAAGCCTAGAAAATGTTTCATGGTCACCGGATCGATGGCTGGGATTGATAAGGCAGAAGAAACACTGGAGTAAGCTCTTAGGAGTTTAAACAGCTCATTTTATTGGCACAGTATTGTGGAATACTTACTGACAAATTTCATTTTTTTGGCGCTGTCGAGTGATAACGCGTGGACGGGATTATACGTATGTAAATGCCGCGATGCTTAAACAACTTCGTAAACCTCACACCAATTTCAACCTAAGATTTTATACATCTACATTTATATCCGAGGGGCGCCCCGAGATCGAGGGCTATGGACGACGGTTGGACTATTGAATATGTGATTGTTGCCGGTGGGCGCGAGGTAAATACATGTACACATCCAGATTCGCAATATGCATCTTAGCTATAGACGCATAAGTTGGATGGTATAGAGGGTGAGTGATATTCCATGATTTGAATATGGCGCTCGGATTTTTTTTTTGTTTAATTCATTAATTACATGCAACCTTATAGTTATGGTAATTATGGCGCTCGGAAGGAAAGAGGGTACGTATGTAGCCTTACTACTGATAGAGTAGTTAATGTCACTGTGCCGACCCGTTCTGTTGTACTAGCTCGTTCACTTCACTTCACTTCGACCTTCATGCTTGATATATACATGTAGCCAACAAAGCCATTGACCAACATCCGTTCCATCAACACCATTGAGGGAGTCCTTGATGTGCTCGACTCAAGGTATCCAAGAACCTATTTATCGCCCGTGAAAAGTTCTCAATATTTTGGTACCAATCAAAGAGTGATCTAATGAAAACATAGTGTGCATGTACTAACTTGCCGGTTGAGAAATCGTGTGTCGACCCGGCCACCAAGGTCTTGGTTCAAACTAGAGATGGGGGTAGTAATTTGACTATCACTCTTAATGATGGGTACGAGACAAGAGGCCATTTCGGATTAATTCTCGTCTTGTCTCGAGCTAAATTTATAAACTCAATCCATATTTGAGGTAAGAACCTGTACACAAATCTAGTTTTTCATCATTAATAACACCTAAAAGTAAACGGGAGACTAGGAATCATTTGCAAAAATGGTATATTGAACTTAAGGCCAAAGTGTACACTCGATTTGCAGTCAATCAAAAGAGACCTGAGCATAGGGAGCCTTATTTTGGATCATGTTGTGTCACTCGGAGTCGAGTCCTCGCGGTTTCAGAAAAAAAGTCTCAAGACATTTCGCCTCGTCCTGTGTCGTCTCGTTAGGTCTTAACATAATGGCTCACAAGGCCGAGTGGCCTTGTGGCTTTGCTCCGAGACCATGAACCCGAGGCCGGACGATACCAAGATTTTGGAAGACCAAGGAAGCTCGAAACCACGAGCCTGATAGTCTTCAAGGTGCTTCAAGACCGCCAAGCCAGAGTGTACTTGTTGAATATAATATAGACTCAGGTCCGTATCGCACTAAGTCTAGGTATCAACTCATTGTTCCAGTACTTGGCGGTTTCAAGATTCCTCGAGAGAGCTCGAGGCCACCCCCCCGAAACTCGAGACCAGGAAAGGCCAGTGTTAAGCAAAACCGAGCGACCTCCGTACCACTCTCATCCTCCCCTCGAGCGGCTTCGTGGACCACACTAGCCCTTCATTAATCACTACAGTGCCTTTTGTTCTTTTTATATACCAATTACTAAGGTGCGAGACCACATCTTACTGATTTATTTTTATATTAGAGGAAGGGAGTGTGGGGTTGTATCTATGGAGCGGTAAATGTGCCAAAAGTAATTTTACCAACGGTAGTAAATTATTTACTACCGGTGGTATAAGCACTAAATTTCAGTCATTGTGTCATGCACTATCCTACATTAGTATGGTTGGGTGACAAAACGTGATTTTGTACGAGGATGGGCCATGAAACGACTATAACTCCACGACCACAAAAGATATAAAGATATTAATATGACCAGAGAGCTGAAGATTGATAGAAAATATCTCCTAGGTATGAGTCACGATTATTGACTTAGTTGATTGGTCTTTTAGGTAATTTCTGCGGGTTTCTATGCAAAAACCACGAGAACTTTTGTCACCCCATGGACAATACATTTCCCACCAGGATAAACACTGAGTTTTGGTCTTTGTGCTGCGCTATACTAAATAAGTAAATGTTCAATCATTAATAGCAAAACCTATGAAAACTTCGCACCCGTGGTGAAATACCGCCACCGATAGTGAAATTCCCCACCGGTGGACAATTTTCATATATGTTGGCATTATATGGCCCTTTTGGCCAAAAGGTCTGTGCTTTTATCATAAAAATTAGAATTATAAGGTATAAATACTGGTATTATTTTCACCACCGGTGGTAAAATAGTTTACCGCCCTACTCGAAAAATTGGCTATCTCCGTCCAGGGATTACCACTTGAGTGATTGGTTGAATGGCATCGATCTGCTTTAGAAATTTCCCATACAAGAAATTTTGATCTAGCCAACTTTTCGAGTTATGGCGGTATATGTATCTGCCAAGTTTTAGCGAGGAAATGATTGGGATTGTAGCCGAATCTGCCATATGGGTATTATATTGTAACTAACTATGCACGCACATAGGTAGTCACATGCGGAAATGTGCTTGGAGATTATATACTCGCGTCAGGGAAAAGAACCAGAACATGCAAGTGAGAAAGCAGGGATTATTTGTATGGAGTGGCGCTGAGCTGCCATACAAACTAGGTATTTGCATGTTCTGGTTCTTTATCCTAGACGCGAGTATGAGTACGGACTGATTATGATTGTTGGAAGAAACCGGTCGCAACTTCCGTCCTTGTCCTACGTTACCCAAGACATAGAATTATGCCTACATGTAAGCGAATATACCAGAAAGTGCACCAGGACTTGGTATATATAGTTTTCTGACAATGATATCTACGTCTAGAAATAACAGTGCTCGTTATTTCGTGATCCGGGCCGTGTTGGGTCTGCATATATATATGAGCCAGGAGCTTGTATCTGTTCCGTCCCAGCAGCCAACACTTGAGCACTCTTTTCGAGACGGGCTCAAGAAATTGGCTCGACTCATGGACTATGTATATATGCCCCGGAAGCTCGTACAAACCTGATTTGGGATCACTCCTGATGATGTAAAAGTCTTGATTGTGAATAATTCCACAAAATAAACCGAACTTAAGTTTATACTTATTATAGGCCAATAACGAAAAAAAAGAAAAAAAGAAAAAAAAGAAAAAGGAAGAGATCATTGGTCGATTGACAAAGGCCGTTGGCCAATCGTCACGATTGACTACTAGTTTAGAAGCGTCATAAAATAGCGAGTAGTAGCGCACGTAGCTCATTTTACGAAACAACAAATTATCTCAGACATCATGTGATGGTTAGGGAATTAAAGTAAACGGCCCTGCATTCGTGGGCCTTCTACCTTTGGTTACCTGATGAGGTACTTGCCGGCCGGTCAGGACGATCGTACAGATGCACATGTAGCACTGCAGCTGGGCTTTCTGACCAATTGGTGTGGAGTGTATAACTCAATATGATTCTGGGATATCGATATATCCCCTTACTTATACTAGACTCAACTCCGCACAGACTTGAGGATATCTTATAATGGTGAAATATCCGCATCAAAAAAGATTTTTCTGGGAAATGATTAATTCTATATGTCTACTATATATATTAACTAATTCAGGTTACTAAAAATAACAATAATAGTGTACTCTTAGAGCTCCAATTATTAGAAGCTAGAGTATGGGATGGCCTATGTAATCCTTCGATTTCACGTACAGAGGAATGTGTGGAAGCTCCCTATAACTATAAAAGTTGGTTTTAGATTGTTATGAATATTGAGTACATAAAGATTCAAGGAGTGATATATGTAAATCAAGAAACAAGCCAGACTTAATTGAGAGCCCAGAGAGTTTTCCCACAGTAGCAACAAATGAAATATACAAGGAGCGTCCATGAAACCCTGATATCCTCCATCTTCAAATCATCTCATACCATGTGTATACCCACCGTATGAAGACCGAATGGTCAAACTAAACCTGCTGGAGAGCTCCGTTGACACACTTGTACTCGCTGGTCTTGTAGCAAGCCTTTCCGCAAAGGTTGGGGTAGTTAATAGGGCAAAGCTGCTGATCGTTGATGCAAACGTACTAGGGGGGTATTCAAATTAGAGTTTTGCTTATAAAATATATCTATTTGAGAGGACTCACGGAGTTCTTGTCAAAGGGTTGGCCCGCGCAAGTGGTAACGGGAGTAAGCTGGCCATTCTTGCAAGCATAGGCAGCCGGGTTGTAGCAGGCAATCTGGCAGTTCTGGTAGACGATACCGTTTTCAATTGGGCACAAGTATTTTCCTTGGAAGCAGGTGTACTAGTAATCCAGCGTATCAGCTATAACTCTTAACTGATTAATTCGCTGGTATTCTTTACCTTGGTAGGGTCATACGGCTGCTGAGCGCAGTACTTGATCTCGCGCTCCTCAAGAATGGGGCTGGCGAAAATGGAGGTTGCGAGAGCAACAAAGGCAATGATGACAGTAGCGAATTGCATTTTGAAGGTGTAGAGAAGGTTCGAGGCGGAAGATAAAGCGAATGGTTTTTTGATAGCGAGAGTTGCTTTTGAAGGTCTTGAGGAAGCTGGATTGATAGATGCTTGATGTGGAGTGAAGAGCTATTGTTGAGGGCCATCCATCGTGGTTTATATACTTTGAGAGAGGTCAATGATCTCGTATTCAGACAGCCACAGCTTTGGTCATTCGGAAGGGTACACCCACAAGAGGCCTTGGAGAAGCTTTGCACGATCCTCGTATTCACACCATGCGCGGCATGTACAAGAAAAGTATGTACATCTGTGATCGCACGATCCTGTTGAAAATTTAGAACTCAGGCTGATCGGCCCTTACTTTCAAATTTCTCTATGGTGTGCAATACTGGCCATCACGCTGGAACATGTCAGCTCCACTATGATGAATTGTAAAAGCGAGCTATAGAAAACTATTTCCGGAAATAGATGTAAAGAGACTGGCTGTTTAAGGCAACCCTTGCATATGTATTGTGAAACGTTAAACGTTGAGTTTCTGTCAAGTTAAGCCGTGGTAGATTCAATTGCGTGAAAGGAAACTTCTAGCTCCCTTGCGTCCATGATCGAGTTCGTCAACTGATTCCTAATACACAAAGCTAGAGAACATGAATTTAGCGGCATATCTTGCCATCGGATATTTACATCCCTCTTAATTGTTACATGCGACTACTAGAGATACCTGCTCGCCAGCTAAGCTTGTTACATTAGTCATATGGTTGTAAATGTCTTGGAAATATTCTGATTAATGGGATTAAGCTAGTGACCGCGAGATTTCCGATACATCTACAAAAGTATGCTTTACTCTTCTTATAATGTGCTCATCAGTATATATGTTTACTCTAAGAACATTATTTTTTGAACTATACTAATTCATAGGAAATATTCCCTCTGCCAGCGCTTTTTGCCATATTAATTATAATGTCTTCTCATGGAAGAAATCAAGTTGGAGGATGTATCATTTTACTAAATTTATAAACCCTAATATTCTGAGTATTATAAATTATTAACGTAGATCATATTGTGGGTACATGCATATGTATGATCATGATCATAATACGAGCGTCAATTACATAGGTATATATAGCCAAAAACCGAGAGATAGCTTGAGAACCCTTGTAGTACCTGAATATGCAATGGGAACACTCTTCTCGGCCATGGCACGATGCAGGGTTCAGAATTGCTTCGAAACTCACCACTTCTGGAGATAGTGTTCTTAGAGTTAGTCATAGATGGCCGGAGGCCTTGATGTAGTGTCACAAAGAAGTTGACCAGCTGGCCAGGCCCTGGCCTTGCAGCATTGCTACTAGACCTGTGCGACTATGGAGCTGATAGTGTTATTTTTTGGATATTAACATCGTTGAGTACTATATGTACAGTTATAACTGTTCAAAACATGTCTAACGGCATTTCTTAACTACGGTTGAGGTTTTCTCTACTACCACTAATCAACCAATCAGCGCTCGTCCACCGTAGGTAATGGCGTTCTGTTGAGAAGAGTATATACGTCACAGCCGTAGTTCCACAAATCTCTACAGAGAAACTTCTATTTCGCCTGCCGTTCTGTCTCAGAATGTTAGACTGGTGGAGAGACAAATGGGCGTGTAAGCCATATCTATCGACTCCAGCCCATTGTTCAAACGCCACGCATCCGTCAGTTATCATAACAGGTAAAAGCTAGAATTAGACTCCGAGGAATCGAACGTCCAATCGAGGGCTCGCCATATATATCCGGAATGCTAAAAGAAGCTTCTAAAAAAAACATATTTTAAGTAAAAGCCATATTAATTTGAAATAAACCGCACCCGTTTATCCTGTTTGTCGGGATGCGGGTGCTTGCTTTTGATACCTATAGGGCTTCAAGTTATGTAACTATGGTTGGTTACAGGCTGAGTGCGAAGACATTCGGGACGAAATATGCCCTTTGCGGTGCAAATCGAAACCGACTTGTGGTCCCACAGAAACCGTTAATACCTACTGGTGGATCTATGGAAATATCGCTACCGACTCACTCAAGTGCTCTAATAGCCTGACAGCACATAAATGATGGCTTATTATTACAGCGCAGAGCGGCTGAACAGAAGCACACTTGGAGAGTGTATATATCTAAGTGTACTTATATATCCTATCAACGACGTCCGTCCGTCCGTCCGTTCGTTCGTTCGTTCAAATATACGGTATTCTCCAATTCAAAAAACAATAATAAATTTAACCATACTCCACAGTCCCATAAGCCGGCCACCTGGAAAAAGTATTAACCAGTGGAATGAAAGTTATGTCGCCGTCTTAGATGGTCGTGTACATGCGCGTGTACTCAAGGTAAGAATTAGACGAGAACTTGAACAAGCGCAGATAACAAGGATTTGATTGTTCGAGGTCAGCAAAGACTTGCATGCAGCTGAAATTGGTCCCAGGATCGTTTTAGATGCCCCAAAATGCTCATGCCCCAAAATGCTCATGACCCTCCAGTATTATTACTGGCCACGAACTCAGTCCACAGCCATGGTATGATGTGCCAATATTACAAGCTTTTTTCTGTGCGAGTTGGTCATATCAGAAGTCGAGAATTGGGGCAGAAATTTCTGCACCTCTTATTATTGGTTGTTTTAATGTCCCTAACCCTCATACAGATCATGTACAAGAATCTGGGTACACATTGCCCACATCCTGCAGATAAAAGTCTGTATTGACAAGGGTCCCCAAAGACATCACCTAGATCATAGGCACCTCGTATATGCGTTATATTTAGCTAGAAACTGGTTTCTTTATAGGTTACTAATTGATACTCCTGATCAAAGATACTTCAATCATGATTGGTAGGTACATGTAGCTAGCTGCACATGCAATGTCGTACGATAGGTTTACGGGAAGACCGGCAATTACAACAATGACATGTAGGTACACAAGTACGAGCTTACTCCAAAAGAAACGAAACGATAATATAATGTGACGTGGAAATCGAGATCAATAGAGGATGGTCGAGACCGAAACTTACTAAAGATATTCGCCACAGTGATTGCCAGTTGTCGGGTTGTTTTGCGTCTTTACTAAAATGAATAATAAGGCTTGAATAAAGTGCAAAGAATTCCCAACAATTAAAGAATTGAGAATGAGTGATACTCCATGACTCGCCGACACCCTCCCGGAATTCAACCCCGTCATCGATCACCACATCCTACCTGATTTGCGGATCTCACTATCCTTTAGAGGAGAAAATTTCGCACTTCTATGCGGGGTGCATAAAATGGGGCTGAAAGATCTTCAACTGCAACCATCTGATTGGTTGGAGACTTGAATCTTAAACACAACCGAATTAGATTTCCAGTTAAACGAGCAGGAAAGGTTGTTCTAAAGATAGCGAGCTTCAACCTCTTAAATGCGATAACTAAATAACTACACAGGACTGAATACGATCGATAGGTAAATAATTACATAGAAAAGAAATGTAAGGAAAAAGTCCTCCTAGCACTCCCCTCCCTCCCCTCCTTCCCGCCCCCCTTGATCACCTGTTGTAATCATATACCCACCCCGCAATCAATCAAATACGAGGGTGTTACAAACACTAAGTACAATTCGCGGTGTGTTAGCTATCGGGTTTGTGCGATGGTTCTGAGCCAAAATATGAATGTGGAATGTACCTGTGAGTAGTAATCGTTGGTCTTTGTGCAAGTCGAACCAGAGGCACAAGTTGTAGATCCAGAGTATCCAATGCCACCACTAAATAATTTGCCATAATATCAGACACATATAGTCGACAGCAGGAGTGGGTGAGAAATAATCAGCTTACCATTGGCCGTACTTCGCTACAGCAGCACCAGTAGAAGCTGGAGCAGCGCTAGTGACGACAGAAGCCACACTTGATGTAGTAGCAGCAGGCGCCGCCGACGAGGTAACTACAGGGGTAGTGCCGGTTCCAGATCCAGTCCCAGGCCATACTGCAGGGCCAGGAACAATGTACGTGGTGGAGGTGTCTGAGGTTATTCTAACAGAAACACCTGGATCAGACATGCTGAAAGCACCAGGAAGGCTGACGAGGTAAGAGCCTGAAGGCGACGCGGTACCGCTTCCAGTGACAGTGAGTTGTGCGCACTCCGGGTAGAATTGGGGAGTGAGTTCTTGGTGAAGAGCTAGGACTTCGTGCTGTACACGATGAGTAAGTCAATGATCAACAGTCGAAATCTATAAGAAACGATCATATATGTATGTACGAACCCTAATAATATAGTTACCAGGAGCAAGACTGGCTGGAATAGTTGTAGTCCATTTCAGCGTCTTCAAGATAATACCGTTACCCCATTCTCCCTTGTTGATGGTGCCTGACAAAAGTCCAGCCTCGTCGATCTTGAACCATACTGCACCGCTGCCATCAAAGTCCGCACAACTGGCAGGGCATTTAGCCATATATACAGTTACTGGGCCTTCAGCATGGGTCCATTGGGTCCAGACCGCAGTGATATCAGTGCCAGCTGTGATAGGTCATATTAGCAATAGCCCGCAGGAGTGAAGGGTTGACTTCAGTTATCGGACTCGAGCTTACCTGCAATTGACGCACTGAGTTGAGAGGTTTCACCAGCGTTGTTACATCTGATATTCGTTCCAGTAGGAGTGAGGATGGGATCGTAGCTGCTATATTTTCTCTGGATAGTAGACTGCCCAGCTGCAGAATTATATGGTTCCCACCTATATTTGAATAAAGATATTAGAATTTAGTTCCTATAAACAGGAAGAAAGATATATATTACCCCTTGTATTCAGTAGATCCAATGATGTATTTCCCGACACCACCATGCGCAGCAGCTTGAGAGGCCAAGAGCGCCAGAGCGGAAAAGATGAGAGATGCAGAAACCATCTTATTGATAATATCGAATGCTGTATGAACGTATGTGCGTATGTACGGATTGATAGTTCTCAATTGATAGTTATAGGAGAAAGGAGAGTTTATCCAACTTATATAGTTTTTAGTCCAAAATTTCAGGGGAGAGTTCCCAGGATGAAGAAATGAATATTCCCCCCTTCTTTGGCGTGCAAGATTGAATTCCTCTGTGCAAAATAGTCATGGGGGAACAAAAAAAGCCTTTCGGACCGACGGAATAGCATCGTTGGGTTATTGCCCCTGTAAATTTGAATACCAGCTCCTATATACCTACAAATTCCACCTCTTAATTTCTGTTCAGGTACAATGCCCTCCCTCTGATATATTAACGGTTTTGCGGCCTCGGGCCGTTGGCCCTTCTTTTGTCCTTCTGGTTGTGGTTAACTAAGCCTGTTTTGGGTTGGCCAAGCAAGTAGTGGAGACATCTAGGTTGTAAAATATCAGGTGTTCAAGCTTTAATAATGCTCCGAAGCGCCCCCTCGCGAGTTTCATAGTTATGCTTACTTTATGTGTAGGGTTGTGTCTGCACCGTGTAACCGGGAGCTTTTAGGCTGATCTACGGCAGGGTATTAAATCTCCGGCGAATATCTCTGATTAAAGTTTTATTTCATGATGCCTTTTGATAGTTGAGTCAAGTTACCATTAGTTTCCTTTTTTCCTATCTGATTTGATTTCTGAGTAAGAAACTAATCATGAGGATTCGTATACGTGCTTGAGCGATATTAGATCCAGAGCCTGTTGAGTAATGAACAATTTGTTAAGCATTCCTTTGTGATATATAGATATCGTTATTTTGGCTTCGGCCCGAGTTCCTTTGTAAAGGAACGCATAAAGAGACAACTCTGTTGTTGATATTTGTATTAGTCATCGTATATGACTTGAGTGGCCGTTGGATATAATGAATGCGTTATTAATGTTCACGCATTTTCTGTGCGCATATTCTCGGGGCCGGAACTCGATATTCCCGTATAACAAGTACCCTTATAATGCTGGATATTTGACTTTGAAAACTTGTTTAGCTTCAAGCCCATGCTTCTTATAAGTCACATCCTTCTTTGTAAGGCAAATAAGGGAGGATTTGGAAATTATATCAGGCTTCAAACCCGCGTGCAACGCTCATTAACGCCCATAGTACAGGATTATATTGCTTGATTTTTGACCGGATGTATCGGCTCTTGCATGTTATTGTTGCATAATATAAAAGTTGACCATGTGTCTCTTTATATTGCAGCATACCCCACAGTTGACATGTTGTAGGTATCTGTCATTCCTGCGGAACCAAGATCCCGGGACGCCGTGTCGTACACAATTGAGGGGAAGCCTACATCTACCTCATCCACTTGTCCTCCTTCTCTCTCCAGAGTAGTGGGTTCTAGGTCCCGAGTAATGTATGCGTAGAAACGAGGATTGATAAGCTCCGACTCATGCACGTGGCACCCCAAACTCCGGAATATATACTACCCCCGCTCTACCTTACCCCACGTCCCAACATCTTCTCTCTCCACAGAGACAATGCGTGAAGGATCTGACGGTTTTATCCGGAAAGTTTCTTTTGACCTTGGGTGCTTGTGTAATCCATTCGAGTGAGCATTCATGCAGCTGACATAAACCTCCGCTGCACGTGGCGACGATCCACCATCCCTCAAAATACCACGTCAATGATGTCATGACCACCTTTTTTGTTTATCCCTTTCTAAAGACAACTTCCAAAGCTTAAGAGACAACCCTGAGTCTTGGCAGGATTCTGAATGCAACCATGACGACATATCTGCGTACCGCAAATAGTAGTGATATAAATTGTTTAGGATCTCTCCGAAATACCCATCGCAGACAAACGAAGATCACGATAAACACATACCAGTGCACCTCCTGAATTGATCGAAAAGAATAATCTCATAGATACCCTGTAAAAATGTCAAAGTCCGATCTTTCAAGCATAAAGTTATCATATGCAACGCCCTCCTTGGGGATGCACCCCACGCATACGCTCCCGCTCAAGCTCTCTGCTATCTCCACAGCTGGATACCAAGGCTTCGAACTTGGCTTCGACGACCTCCTCTCTTTCGCGCGCCAATATCTTCGAATCTCAGACCTTGCCGAGGATGACTATGATAATCTGTGCACAGCCGCCGGAGAGGTCGGGCGTCTTTGTGATGAGTTGGAACTTGAGGTACTTGTATTTCAGCCATTCTCAAATTTTGAAGGATATGCGGAGGGAACAGAGAAGCGAAAAAAGGCCTTTGACAAGGCAAGGGGATGGATGAGGATCATGGATGCGGTGGGGTGTGAGATGCTTCAAGTGAGTAGTGCTTAAGCTTGGCCCTTTGATAATATACCCGGCGCTCTCTAAGTGGGTATTATCTAATACCAGGTCGGGTCAAACGACGACCCATCCAGCATTTCATCATTCCCCGAAATTGCCAGAGACCTCGCGGCCCTGGCAGACTTATACCATCCTCGCCGTATCGCATACGAGAACTGGGCTTGGGGTGCCCACGTCAACACCTGGACACATATCAATGAAGTGATAAAGCTCGCTGACCGCCCCAACCTTGGGCTCTGCCTCGACACATTCCAGACAGCCTCACTAGAATGGGGGGACCCTTGTGTTCCTTCCGGGAAGATCGAGAACGCCGACGAGATCTACAAAGCCTCTTTAAAGAAGCTTGAGAAAGAAGTGGATCCGGAAAAGATATTCTTTTTCCAGATATCGGATGCGTACCACATAGTGCCGCCGCTGGAGCGAGAGGGGGAGACCCCGCCAAGGGGGAGGTGGAGTCATGCGAGTAGACCGCTGCCGTACCATGGCGGATATTTACCAGTGCTAGATATGGTAAAGGCAGTTCTGAGAACGGGGTTTAGAGGTTGGTTTAGTGTAGAGGTATTTTTGGAGGAGGAGCATTCGAAAGAGCTGAAAGACGGGTTGTTGGATGACTGGGCGAAAGAGGGCATGAAGTCTGTCAAGAGACTGCTGGAAGATGCAGAGAAGGGAATCTGAGGGGACGATGACGTGATTTTGGGCGAGTGTTCGTTAAGAGGAGTACGTATGTAGAAATAGGATATCTGGGAATTTTTTTAATGTTGATTTTAATTTGAGCGATTTCTCGACCTTGCGTTGTTCTCTCGCACTGTATACGTAGACGTACTTGGCAAATTTAATCATGCATGTTAATATTAAAGTGCTGCAGCTGATAATAAGTACCGTCGTTCACGGGGTATTGGCGGATACTGGGTGATGGCGGACAGGGCAAAAAAGAGACAGCCAAGCCAACTTTTACCTGCAATTCGCCAATACCCAGTATCCACCAATACCCCGTGAACGACAGTACAAACATTTGATGACTAAAGTTAAAGAGGCGGGAGAGGCCACATGCATATCTATCGCCTGGTGGGCCGAAACATGCTCAGAATCTGGTGCTCCGCAGCCTTGGCAACTTTAGACCAAAATTTACTGCTTGTGGGAGTTGCTTGTTGAAATATCAACTGTATCATTACCCTATCTGGCAAGGCAAGCGCCTGGTTTGTATAATATGCAAAGCACCACATTCTGAGCATGTCTCAGCCCACCAGGCGATAACTATTTGTACTCCGTTCCCATGTTTATTGGATGACTCCAGTACTCTTAACCCTGGTTCACCAAAAACAGAGATGGAGACCGGCTTGGCACAAGAAAATGATTCAATACTCAGTCTCAAATCACCTAACCCCGGTGCCAAGCCGTCTCACTTTTGGACCAGATTTCAAAGTTTCCGAGCCATAGGTAGCGGAGTTTCGAGAATTGAAGGGATAGTTCCTTATTTCCCACCATTGATGGACACTTTGTATGTACGGTCGCCCTACACCACACTTTTTGATGATAATATTAGCTGGGAAGGGGAAACTAAGAGCTAGAATCGATTCATAGAACCTAAATACCTACGAAACTTTGCTTGTTGACATGACATTGTCCTGATTTAATTTCTACCATTAAACTTCCTCCGCTGATCAGTCCCAATGAGATTCTTCAGGTCCAATTCAAACCGGGGTGAAGCAAAGCAAGCAAGCACGAAGAGCTCTCCGCTACACCTTCTCATGCACCTTCATTATAACCGTAATAACTTGGCGTTTACGGAGAGAATAAGACCGAACCGAACCGAATCATTTCGTGCACATGGGGCAGAATGATCTAGAGCTCCTAAGAAGTATTCCACGATTGCATCGACAAACGAGGTAAAGAGTCGAGACAATTAGTAGATAAAGTATATATCTAGTAGAAGCTGATTATTATGACATCTAACTTGGCTATCCTTATCATAGGAAGTCCCTATTCGCCAGAGTCAACTTTCATTTCCCAGTATAGTACCAAGCATTCATGCAGGCACAAGGGAGAAACCTAGCACTGATGTAAAGTATAAATCTCTTTCCACCCCGCATGCTACGATTCAGTGGGTTGGAATTAACAAGGAGAGTTAGGGCTCTCAACAACCCCCACAAGTAGAAGTCGAGACTTTTTGTTGCTAGATAGGAATATGATAAAGCCAGCAATCGTCGAGGCTCGAGAAAGAACCGCAATCTTTGAAAGGCATATATCTTGGTACGCATTTCGTCTCCAATAATTAAGCGGTGATCGTATTCGGATTGATAACTAGCCTAACAGCTCCTTGATCGCGGTTGATATCATCTATCGAATTATACCCCACCGGCCAGTAGTCCGACAATGCCATCGATGAGGAGGGCTACATGCCTAGATACATACATTCCTCGATACCAAAGCTCCCCAAGCAGCGGCTACTTCACCGTTCTCAACAAGACCCCCACACCAGACGTCATCCATCACAGTGAATTACGAATGAGTGAATGGGGCTAGATTCTCAGCTGGCGAGTGAGATTCCATGATTTCTTGTGCACAGTGCACCCCCATGTGCCACTCCCCGCAGAATCACCGACATATCACCGAGATAGCTTGTATGTTATCTGGTATTTTATGCTTGTCTCCCCCCGCAAAAATAACATCAATCTTTCCCCGCAAATATGTAGATGCTTGTAGTTTACTTACCCTCGGTATAATCCTCACGAACTGAAAGGTCGATCCCGGTGTTGCCTTGGCGTGCGTGAGCGGGTAGCAACCGTTACACCTACTAATCCTGGTACTGCGGGTTTCATAACTCTTGCCCAAAATATTCTAACTATTCATTCGGTGCTAGATAGGTATATCAAACTTTGCAACTGATCCTCATAGGACCTTAAAACTGATAGACCGCGCTTTCGTTGACGGCCGACTGACACCTCGTTTATTACCACTAGAGCATATTACTAGTAAGCCGTGCCATTTCCGGAAGGCGGGAACGGTTCGGGAGTTTAGCAGTCGTTGGACTCAATATGGAAGCTACCAGAAAGGTATGCGAAGGGTTACCGCATCCAGGATCGAAAACGGGGGTATCTTGGAAACGTACATACTTCTTATCGATACAAAAGTCATCACGCGATGAATAACTTTTTCTTGAAAAGCAAACGAAACAACGATTTCCATCATCATTACTACTTCTGTAAATCGTTAGTCGGGAAGCTGTCCGGCCAAGCTGCGGATAACTTCGGTTGCTTTATGGTAGATGTACTTTGTACGTACTCTACTCTGCTGGTAGGGGAGACTCGGTAGCTGAGGGGATAGGTCAGTTATGATGGCATGGCTAATTGGTCCATCGTAAGATGCATGTACGATTCGGGTGAGAGTTTTTGGATGGCCTGGTATCCAGAGCGGCGAGAGGTACAGACAGGTACACACACCCCGGCTCAACAGAGTGGATTTAGATATCATTCCAGGGCGGGCGGTTTAACATGCCAACCTCGGGCTCAACCCAGCGATCCCGCTATGCTGTGTATGTACCCCGCAAAGATAGCTTGGACGAGAACGGCATGAAGTGAAAGCGCTTCATAAAGGATAGTCGCCCCTGGGTTTTTTTTCCTCTCCTTTCCATCATCAACTTCTTTGCGCTACACACCACTCTTCAATAATCATGAGCACAAACTTTGGTATTGAAGACCAAGGCTCACGGTCTGGCTCGGCCTCGAAAAGCAATGAGGCTTCGATACGCGAGGATGCTAGATTGGACCCTACCATTCGGGACGACGCGTCGGCGCAAGAGACTTCTGAGACACCAACGGTGTGGATGTGGGTTTTGACGTTTGTCGCTGGTATCAGTGGTGTAAGTTTCTTTCTCCCAGTCCGCCGGCATTGCGCCAGTAAATATCGTCAGTATAGTATCGCAAGCTGACATAGAAAAACTGCAGCTACTTTTTGGATACGACACCGGGTATTTAATTCTTCCGAATAACAATGGTCCGGATAGTAAGGTGGAAAAACTAATAGCGCACATGCAGAGTCATTTCCGGCGCCCTCGTAGTGATCGGCAGTGACCTCGGCCCTGCTGAGCTCTCGAATCAGCAGAAGGAGTTCATCACCGCTGCAACCTCCCTCGGCGCACTCCTGGCGGGGATTGTGGCCGGCGCGCTCGCAGATCAGATTGGTAGGAAATGGGTTGTTGCAATTGCGGATGTGGTGTTTATCATCGGGGCGATCATGCAGGCGCTCTCTGGGAGTGTGTGGTTGATGGTTGCTGGGTGAGCTGACTTCCTTTTTTATGGTCTTGGGTTGGTTACTGACGAGCATATGTAGTCGATTTGTTATTGGTATAGGTGTAGGATTGGCAAGCTTGATAGTTCCATTGTATCTTGCTGAGCTTTCACCGGTAAGTAGATTAAATCTATCTGCTAAACATTGATATATCAAATTCGGTTTCTAATATAGTACTGTGTTTGTCATAGGCCAATTACCGAGGACGAATGATCATCATCAATGTCCTCTTTATCACATTTGGTCAGGTTGTTGCCTATGCTATCGGCGCAGGTCTTACACATGTACATGGCGGCTGGCGCATCATGGTAGGTATCGGCGCTATTCCGGCTGCTATCCAGTTCGTCATACTGTACTGGCTTCCTGAAAGCCCTCGTTACTGTATGTAACTCCCCGCCCCGGGCAGTTATAAGCTTCCGGCTAACATAAATGATGCCGAAAGTGATCCGGAAAGGTATTGAAGGCCGGGCAAAGACCATCTTGTCACAGATTTATAAAGGCGCCTCCGATAGAGATTTGGATGAGAAAGTTGCATACATCAAAGAATTCACCGAGGATAGAAGACCTGGAACAGCTTCGCAGAAGGCCTGGAGCGACTTCAAGAGTCTTTACACTGTGCCATCCAATTTGAGGGCGTTGATTATTGCGTGCGGACTGCAGGGAATTCAGGTTCGCCATACATATACCTACAGTTAGGGGTTCCAGCAAGGGCTAATGTGTTAATATTTTAGCAATTCTCCGGTTTCAATTCATTGATGTATTTCTCCGCCACCATCTTCAAGAGTGTCGGCTTCGAGAACCCTACAGCCGTCAGTCTCATTGTTGCCGGTACAAACTTTGTCATGACCGTAAGCTTAAGGCCCCCCTCCCCCTCCTAGCATCACCAACGAAAACTCACACAGCTCCTCCACTAGTGCGTTACCTTCCTCGTCGTCGATCGCATAGGCCGCCGCCGGGTCCTCATCGGCACCCTCTGGGGTTGTGCCGCCGGTCTCACAATCTGCGCCATCGCATTCCACTACCTTCCCCGCAACGACGCCGGGGATGTCGTTGGCGGCGGCAGCAACCGCTGGGCCATTCTAATCCTTGCCTCTCAGATCATCTACGTGATGTTCTACGCTCTTGGTATCGGCAACATCGCATGGGTCGGCCAGAGCGAAGTATTCCCATACAACGTGCGAGGATACGGAACAGGGATGGCAACCGCCACCAACTGGGGTGCGAATCTTATCTTGGGATCGACGTTCTTGACTATGATGGACAAGATGACTCCTAGTGGAGCATTCGGGTTCTATGCGATCTTGTGCTTCCTGGGATGGCTGTTTGTCATCTTCCTGTACCCGGATCTGAGTGGATTTACGCTGGAGGAGGTGGCGGAGATATTAGGCGAGAGCTTTGGTATCAAGGAGAGTCGGCGGAGGAGGAAGGAATTGAGGAGGTTGGGACAGGAGGAGCTGAGGAGGAGAGAGGAGGCGTTGAGGGAGAAGGTTTGAGCAAAAGTGGTGTTATGGTCGGCGGCCGTGAGGGACTCGTTTTGTTTAATCTGGCACTAGCGTTTAGTCCCGGAGTGTCTATACCACAGTCAGTTATGACTACTACGATTGTGATGTCTTACCTGTATATATAATGTTTGGAACCTTCTCTATAAAATCTAATAACGAAATTTTTTATTATCTACACAACTACCCCATATCAAACTTATAACATAACGTTGCACTAGAGACATACATATGTTTCGTTCTTTTACTGCATGAACGTATGCATAGCAGGTCCTGGCTATATATATCAATGCCTCAAAATAAATAGTGTCCATGGGATATACGGCGGGCAAGCGTCATCACACAAAGAAGCGTTATATTCCGCTTCCGCGCTCAACCTTGGCTTCGATTGTAACCCTAACCGCAGTACCATTACAACCAGGAACATCTCGCTCCCGAGGCCGGCCGAAAACCACCACCAACCACTATCAGCGCCGGGCACCTCCTACACCAGCACAAAAAGCGACTACAAAGTTACCGGACCATCACCCCCTACACCATGCTGCCGGAAGAGGTGTTTTGAAGTTGCGGGGTATCTATGATTTCCGATCAGCCTACGTTAGTGGCGAGACTAAGATAGGTTTTTCTTAAATTTGGTCATGGATTCTCACTCGGATTTTCGGTTTAATTCATTAAGGTTTGAAACGAACTAGTGGGGGTGATGGGTTGGTTGGAGACTGGCGGCGGAGGTAGGGTTAGTCTGCTTACTTTTTATATACAGATTTTATGGTTTTTGTCGGGGTTTGGTGCGCTGGGTGGCCATGGAGTGGGTGTGCTGTTGGTCCTTTTGGGTGTTTTTAGCTCCGGCGCCGGTTCCACTCTTTTGGAGTTGCTGCCATAGACCTGTAGCTCGCAGGGGAAAAGGGGGGTGATGGGCGTTTTTATTATGGAAGGGCGGGAATGAGGGGGTTTGTGAGCGTGGGGTGGTTGGAGCTAGTACTGCAGCTCCGGGAGGTGGTGTTTTTAAAGAGATGGAGAGCCCGGAACACCAAGCTAGTACAGCGGTGCTGGCTAGATTTTTATGCCTTATTTACAGAAGGGACTTGACTTCTTTTATTGGCCGATCGGGCTCTTGGTCGTTCCCGGCCGGGTAGTGAGATCAGCGAGAGCGCATTTGCTCATATACTTGATATTATGAAACCTACTCCGAAGTGCTATCTGGGCTGGCGGGAGCAAAATATATATGGCTTTTTGCTTTAGCTAGGCCATCGTCTCTCGATCTCATGCTAAAATTCCGAAGGGCCAAAATTCCATGGGGCAACACAGAAAACAGCTGCAGGGCGATTGTCGCTTTTGAATTGTGCCGCTGCTGGCTGGCATTCGGCTTGCTGATAGTCTACAGTTTACTCTCTTGGCGTTTACAAGTACAGGAATTAACACTTACAAGGATATCAGCCAAGTTTGCCGTGCACCTTCAAAGGCTGTGTTGTAAGTCAGTGTATAGCTATAGTATTCACCCTCCCTCCAGACCCTCCAGACCACCGCCACCACCACCGCCACCACCACCGCCACCACCACCGCCACCACCCCCACTCCCCCGATCGCAGCCCCCGCCCAGCTATCATTGACACGCCCAAAGCAGCATCCCCAGGCGAGACGCGTTCCCCTCGCAACGCAACGCGTAAATTGAAAGTTTCCCTTCTCTTCCCTCACCTCTTGGCACGCACCACCTCTCTTCTTCTCTCTCACCGTAACTCTCAACCTCTCAACCTCTCAACCTCTCAACCTCCAACTCCCAACCTCCAGCCTCCAACCTCCAACCTCCAACGCCAACTCCAACTCCAACTGCGACGGTCCTTACCACGGTGTGACACCAGCCAACACAAGAAATGGCAGGCACAGAGGCGCAAAAGACCCTCAGGCAGGAGCTCAAGGAGTGGGAGCGCGCGTTTGCGGACGCGAATGGCGGCAGGAAGCCGACGCGGGAGGAGATCAAGAGGGATAAAGTGATTGGTTAGTGTTGCTCGATGCATGTTTGGGACAAAGTGGTTTGGAGATATGCAGAGAGTGGATGGACATTGGATATGAAAACAATGGCTAACAAGAACAACGGTCTACAGCTGCAAAATACACCGAATACTACAAGATCCAGCCCTCCTCCAAAGCGCCAAAATCAAAGTCCTCACAATCCGCAGACCCCAAACCCCGCGACCCCAAACCCCACACCTCCAGATTCACCACCACAACCCCCACCGCAATCCCCTACGACCCCACCAACCCCTTCGCCTCAGGCCCCTCCCCCAGCAGCAGCAGTGTAAAGTCCACAACCACAATCCCCTCCCGCCCCACAACCTCCACCTCCGTCTCCACAACCTCCATCTTCCGCACGCCCTCAAAGCCCTCACAGCTCCACAGGGACCTCTACGACTCCCCGCTCTCAACCCGCGGCCGCCGCCTCTTCGGAAACCGCATCCGCGACTCCGTCGGCCCCACGCCGCAAAAGACCGGAAAGGTCCTCGGCATCTTCGAGTCCTTTGGCGCCGCCGTTGACGACGCCGACACCGACGCCGCCGCTGCCACCCCATCACACAAGCGCGTACTGCGCCCCTCACCCAGAAAGACCACCACCACTACCGCCGCTGCCGTGGCTTCACCGGCGCTCTCGACGCCGCGCAAGCGCAAGGCGGGGGAGATGGGGACCCCGAGGACGCCCGGGACGACGCAGAAGACACCCGGCACGCAGCGCGATGTGTTTTCGACGCCGGCGTTCCTGCGGCGCTCGTTCATTGGGTCGTTGGAAGAGAGCCCGGCGGTGGTGGAGCCGCGCAGGCGGCGGCCGCTGGTGAAGGGGCTGAGCGAGATGGTGAAGGAGCTGCGGAGGTGGGAGGATGATGCGCATCGTGATGATGAGGAGGCGATGCGGGAGATGGAGCGCGAGATGGAGGGTGCAGAGGCGGAGGCGCTGCCGGTGAAGAAGAGGGTGCTGGAGGAGGTGGAGGTGCCGGTGGAGGTGGAGGTGGAGGAGAATGATCCGGAGACGGGGCTGCCGCCGTTGCCGGAGGGGGCGTGGAGGGAGGAGCGGCGCGTGGAGGAGGAGGAGAGCGGGGAGGAGAAGGAGGATAAGGGGCGGAAGTGGAAGAAGAAGGGGCTGAAGAGGCAGCATAGGCGTGTTATCAGTGTGTTCCCCCCTCTGGCCTTCACTAGGATAATTAAACTAACGATCCACCCAGTGCGCCCCACCGCCAAAACCACAACAACAACAACAGGCGAAACCGACGACGCCCCGCCGCCGCCCCCCAACCCAGAAGACGCAGAGCTGCCCGGCGCGGGCTATTCAGACGAGGACCTGTCGGATCTGGACAACCTGCCCGACGAGCCGGTGCGGAAGGCGGTTGCTGTGCCTGTACCTGTGGAGCGGAAGGGGAGGAAGATCTCGGAGGCGGCGCATGCGAATTATCGCAGGGTCAATATTCGGGGCAGTAAGGGCGCGAAGGCGGTGAATGGGCGGGCGGGGAGGTTTAAGGGGAAGAGGCGGTAGCGGGGTGGGTTAGGGTGAGGGGGGGTGAGGTGGGGGAAAGGGGGAAAAGGGGGAGGGGAAGAGGGGGATGGACATGTAGCTGTGTGTGTATATGTAATATTGATGCTCTGGTGCTGCGTGTAATGTTGGATGTGTTTTTTAGTCGGTGGGTTGGTTGGTTGGTTTGTTGGTGGTTTTGTTCACGTTTGTATAGCAGTATAGCGGTATGGCAGTACATGTAGCCTTTTTAGCCACTGGGGGTTTTGGTAGTAGTAGTGGGGCTGGGGTTGGAATATATATATACTTAATTGTGGAAGGGGTCTTGACCACTTTTTTTTTGTGGTTGGTGTGGCCGTTTTTTTGTCTTCCTCTTTTTTTTTTTTTTAACCCAGAAAAATTTGTTTTCCCCCTTTAACCTGCCAAGCAAAGAGTCTTCCACCATCTCAGTAATTGCATAATAATGATGATAATTAATGAAACACTCTGTTCTTGTTGTAGGGATCTAATTTTTCCAACGCAGGCCCTATGTGCCCATTCCAGTTAACCGATGGGGTTGGTAGCATTAGACTCCGTATTAAAATCATGACAGGCCCATATATACACATACTGAAATTGAATTACAATTATCTCAGTCACAGCCCTGGTTCGCATTATCGAGTGATTGTTCATGATGCAATTTCCTTTGGGGGGGGGGGGGAGGGGAGGGAGGGGAGGTGGAGATGTTACTCGCTGTGCTATGGCTTGTCTGGTGTATGCCAATCCCCAGACCATATCTAGGCTTCACTTGGTCTTCTGGAACAACAGCATGTATATGTATGCAGTGGCACCGTCTGCACGGTAGAGTTGTAGCCACCGTGCGTGCCATGAACGGTCGAGTCAATGACCACGTGCGCCACAACTAACCACCTCCCTCTCGATAGGGATAAGGAGCAGCAATGGTGGTTTATGTGGTTAGTTGAAGAAGGGGCTAGCGGATACGTTGTTCGTTGTGGTGGGGCGCGCGGTATCTGGCTTTATTGTGGGCTGGTTAAATAGCTGGCTAGACTCATCCTCCTTCGTCCTTTGTAGATAGTAAACCACAAACACCACAATGAAAACCTCACAGCCGTCTAGCTCTCCACATCACCAGCTCACCAGCTCACAAACTCAGCCTCAACACCGGAATTCTGGTTGCTTGTTGTCTATTACTTCAATTCAGAACTTTTGTTTCCGCTACATAAGTATAGTATAGTAGATACCCCTAATGATACATGCCAACCCCCCCAAGTTAGCTAGTAAAGTAACTGACTACCTGCCAAACTCCGGCTTGTAAGCCTTGATGCCCTCACGCATAAACTCCCTCAGCGCCATTGTCGCATATGTGCTGGTTCCCAGACACATCCTCAACACAACCGCCGTCTTTTCCTCCCCGTCCCCAGCTGTAGCAGCAGCATCCTCCTTCTCCTCCTTCCCCCCCTTCTCCCCCGCCACCAACACCTCCAAATCCGTCTTCACAACCTGCTCCACCCCCCTACACCCCCTCACCTCCACACTACACCTACCGCCCAAAAAGCCCGCCACAGCACCCCTATAACTCCCCGGCAGACTAAACTCCCGCACCCCCCTCTTCATCTCCAGCGGGTCCAGGCCGTGCGGCGCCATCACGCGCTGATACACCTCCAGTAGCTCGTTGGACGGATACACCACGTCCCACCCAGGCGTCGGCAGGACAATGTCGCGGATGCCCCACTGCCCGCTGGCCGCCTCGGCGGCAGACAGGGCGCGCGCGCGCTGGAACGCCCCGGGTGCGCGCCGGCCCGTGGCGCTGGCGGTGGGGGCGTGGACGACGACTTCGCCGTTTTGGTCCACCTCGATGTCCTCCGTGGCGGGGGCCGGGGGGGCGTCGGCGTCGGAGTCTAGCGGGATGAGCACCAGGTCGCCCGGCAGGACCTGCAGCCCCATTCGGACGCGGGCGCTCGCGACATGGTTCCACACGTAGCTCTGAAGCGCGTGGACGTACATTGTCTTGAGGGCTCTGGGGATCGTGCCCAGGGCCGCGCAGTAGTCTGTTGATGCGGGGCGGGCGGCAAAGTAGTGGAGGATGGCGCTCTCGGCGGAGTATTTGTAGGGGATGAGATTTGCGGCTTTGGCGTGGTCGCCGGCGTTGAATGCGGCGATGGCGGTGGCGCGGGCGATGTCGTCTCTATTGTTGTTGTTTGTGTTTGTGTTCTCGGCGGAGTCGGAGTCGGCGGAGGAGTCGGAGGGGAGCAGCGCGGGGTCGTAGTGCAGGATCTGCCCGACAGCGCCGTGCCAGTCGCCGCATAGCAGCTTCACGCCAACCTCCCACGTCCCCACGGTGTAGCTGCCAAAGCGCTGCAGCCCAAAATAGTTTACGAACCCGCCCTCCCTCACGCGCTCCACAACCTCCTCCACAACCTCCTTCAGCGGCCGTGTCTCCCCCGCCGCAACCGCACACTCGCGCAGCGTAATCACAAACTCGTTCCCGCCCAGATCGCCCAGCTCCAGCCCATACGTCTTGTACCCAAAGTTGCCCACCCGCGTCCCCGCATGCAGCGCCCCCGCCGCGCCCTCGGTGTTCAGCCGGGCGAGCCGCGAGGCGTCAACACGGTACACGGAGCACCGCTGCACCGTCACCGCGCGCTTGTCCTTTGTCCCCGCGAACCCGATCTGGCCGTGTGCGCCGCCCCGCAGGCCAAGCAGCTTCTGCACGATCTTGACGGCGTGCATAGTGTCTTTATTCTCCTTGTACAACAGAAAGTGACAATAATCACCACCTCTATCCGCAGCCTTGGTGGCAGGCGCCTTCTGTCTTGCGCCGCCACGGTTACCGCGGCGCTGGCGCGGGCCGCGGGACGAACCTGCGGCGGGGGCAGGCTTGATTGTGATTTTGTTCTCGTCGTTGTCGTCGCCGGTGAGTGTTGTTGTCTCGAGCTTTGATGAAAAGAGGCGGCGGACGAGGGCGTGCAGCGTCGAGCGCGCCTCTTTGGCGGCGATGGCGGGGGTCGTGAGTGTCGTTGTTGGGAGCTCGACGGGGGTGGGCGCCGACAGGATGGCGCGGTAGAGGGACACGCAGGCAGTGGCGAGCTCGGGGGTGGTGAGGCTTGAGAGTGCGGTGAAGTCGTCGGCGCTGAGCTGCGGTGGAGGGGAGTGGTTAGTTGGTATTGCTGCGGGAGAAGCTGCGCGGGGGAGGAGGAAGAGGGACATACCTCGAACGCCGCAGCCTGCGCCGCTTTCGCCGCCTTCGAAGCAGCAGCGGCGGCCGCTGCAGACGCGGGCTCCGGTATATGCGGCGCCGGCGGAGCGGCAGGCGCGAGCCTCGGCTTCTCGTTCTCGTTCTCGTTCTCGTTCTCGTGTCCGTCGACCGTGAGCTTTGTCAGATGCGCCACATTGCCCTCTTCGTCGATCTCGTTGACGAGGAAGTCTGTATATCTAATCCTCCCCCCCGCACGCATCAGCCCCGGCCTCAATTCCCCCAATTGCCCACAAAGTAGCCCACAAGTAGCCCACAAGTAGCCCACATACCTCTGCTTCAGCACCCCGCTCCACCCACGGATCCCCGCATCAACATACTCCGTAATCCCCACCGCGCGCTCCAGCTCCACCTGCGAAACTGCCTCGGTCCGTGACACACTGCCGTCCTCTCCCTCCACCTCTTCTTCCGCTTTCTTCTCGGTCGGCGGTGGTGGAATTGAGACTAGTACTGATGATTCTGTCTGTAACTCGGCGGCGTCGGCGACGGCGGTGACGCCGAGTTTCACACGTTTTGCGGGCGGCGGGGTGGTGTCTGACATTTTTGGGGGGGGGAGCGGGGGAGGGGATTGTGGGGTTGTGGTTGTAAGAAAGTGTGGATGGATGGGCGTGGGCCGGGTAAAGCTGGGGGGAGATTATTAGGGCTTGGGTGTAAATAATAAATATTATCAGCCAGGCGGTACTTTCTGCATATTGGGGAATGTGCCTCTGGAGTGCCTCTGGAGCAGAGTAATCCTAATACGCCCCAAAAAGAACCCAATCAATTGACTGGACCCCTCATCACCGAAGAGTAAAAGAAAAGAGAAAAAAACTTTCTCACGGTATATAGGAACCTCTTTGCAGAAAGAGTACCAACATACACCATCGAAAACTTATGAATCAGCCGGGAATCGAACCCGGGTCGGGCGCAAACTTGTTTGGCAAGCGCCCGTGATACCACTACACCACTGAATCGTGCTTCCAGGTGTATTTTTCAATTATATAAGCCGTCTGTGTAAAGTAGTAAATATATCTTGAATTCAGTTCTACCAACTCCCTCTTTGTGTATTCCAATTGCAGCTAAACCATCAACTCCGACGCCGATAAAATATAGGACCCTCGCTCATAAAATAAAGTTAAAAAAAAAAAAAAAAAAACGAAAGAACAAGATGAGGGGAGGAAAGAACGTCGAGTTAAAAAAAATAAAGTAAAAAAATTCATGCAGCGTTAAAAAGAATGCAGAGTTAAAAGAATGCAGAGTGAAAGAATGCAGAGAGCCATAATAATGCAGCGTGAAAAAAGAATAAAGACCGGTAAAGAGATCGACAAAAAAGAAAGCAGAGCTAATATCTGGCTGGGGACACGACGATATTCACAAATGCAAACCCCCGCCCAACACACAATGCAAACCTCAATACTCTGCCAGCGCCGGGCTATCCCTACCAACATGCTTCCCATGAAAGCCCAGCCCGACAGCAGTCTCCATCTCCGCCCTGGCAACCTCACTCAGATCCCGTGCGTCCAGGACCAGCAGGTAGCTCTTCTTGGCACACCCGTCGAGCACCACAGTCAGCAGCACGCCATCATCTTCTGCTGCGTCTGGGGCCGGCGAGGGCACGAATATGCACTCGCCGGGGGTGTGTGCGTGTTCCTCCCAGATCATCGTGGTGTGGGTTTTGGAATCGTACTTGGCGATGCCGTCGAGGAGGGTGGATTTGCATCTGTTGAGGAGGCCATATGTGAATCTATACATCAAAATTATATGAGTCAATACTGCAACATTTACCGGTTTTTTTTTTTTTTTAATATGATGGGAATACAAACCTATGTGGCAGCGTGACAAAGTTCGGATTGATTGTAGGCAGCTCCATCCCTAGCTCTTTCCCCATTTCCCATACCTTCACAGCGTCACTCCCACTGCTCCTCGTATCCATCCTCCACCTGGTAAGCACGGCCCGCCCCTTCTCCACCCACTCCCACGCCGACTTCTCGTCCCCCTTCAGGTTGTTGACGTAAAACTTCTTGAGCACATCCATATCCCCATACACCGGCACCTCCGCGACAATCTCCTCCCCTTCCTCCCATGCATTTACGGAATGGAATGCAAAGAAAGCCTCGCCAGGATGCGATGATACGACGCCCCTCCTGCTGTCTGTGCGGTCAATCACGTACCACATGGTTCTTTTCCGGGAATCATAAGGTTCCAGCGCATCCATGATATTACGGTGATACAGCATCTTGATGCCCCCGCAAGCGTAGTGTGACCCCCAGACGCAGATCACCACATACCGTGGGGTGAGGAAGAAGGAGTGGATATATGCTCCCGGTGCATCCGTGATTGTGGCTAGTATATCGGTTTTGCCCGTGTCCTTAGCCACTTTGAAGATGCGGTATATAGGTTTATGCCCGAGGGTGAGGTTGTAGTTGAAGACATCACCAGTCATTGGGCATGTCCGTGAATGTGATGCCGACAGTGGGCCAGAAAGATCAGGGTGTAGAACAGTTTGCTTTGCCAGGCCAACTGGCTCAAGGGTTTCTGGGTCCAGTCGTTGCACTGCGGCAGCATCAGTCTTGATATACAGACTCCGGCCCTTTTCGTCTGCTGGGTACCCTGGGTAGTCTGTGGAGACAGTGACAGCTATGTTCACGCCATCAGGTGTTTTTACTTCGGGCCTTGGGGCGAATGTGGCCACGAACTTTCGAAAGAAGCTTTGGCATGGATCACGCTGGGCGAACGAGAAGCCGGAAGGTATCTTTCCAGTTTCACGGATGCCCCGGAGGACTCCGTCGCATGTGTGGCGGGAGTTATAGAGTACTTTCTTTGGTGATATCAGGTTGAAACGATGGGTTTGTGCAAAGGCATCGAACCAGTGAGACATGCTTATCTCTACTCCCTTGTCGGTGGTGGTTTGATATCCTCCTGGTCCTGTACGGTAGAGAACCCCACTGGAGAAGTATTGTTAGTAAAGGTCCATATAGCTATAAAGTAATTAGAAAAGAGTTCTTACAGGGCATATTCGGGGATTTCCCCAGTAACCTTCAATTCGACCGGTGTTCTCTCCTCATGGAACACTTCAAACTGCATTTGATATCAGCAACCATGATCAAAAGGAAAAAGAAAGTTAAGATAACAGTAAAAAAAATAAAAATAAAAATAAAAACTTACACCCTCAGAATTCGGCCAATCATTAAAACTTTCCCTCTCGGTTTCACTCGATACCGGAATTTTATCTGTCATAGCAGTGGGGGTTCTTGATACTGTACATGTAGGTGTACTAGAGGACCTAGTAGCAAACATTCTAAACCTTCGTTTATTCCCCGACGTCCTCGCCACTGGGTCTTCGCTAATTTCAGGCATTGATTTTCGAGACCGCTGCTTTTTCTTGAAGAGGCGGGATATTATTGAGGAAGGCATCGTGGAATTGAAGAGGTGAAACTTTCTCTGCCGGTAGTGGTGAGGGCTGTGATGAACTTTCTATGTATGTACGAAGTTAAAGTTCACGATTTTTTTTTCGTTAATTAGTAGGTACGAGTACCGGATCGGATGAAAAGAGTTCCATAGCTTCTTCTCTATATAAGGCACACGCACCCAACTCCTATCCCGTACTTGGCTTTCTCCTCCGACGTTCGTTTAAAAGGTAAGTTTTTTCTCGTTATCGACGTTACAGTTGAGCCGCCCCCCGAATGAAGAGGCGAAAGGTTTCCGTCCCCTTTGGGGAATTTTAATCGAAGGCTCAGACAGAATGTAATCTTCTCCCGGTAGGTAGATAGATACGCGGGAACCACTGCAAAGAAGAAGAAAAAAAAACAAGGGTTCCCAGCTCATAAACGGCTTTAGGGCACCAGTTGCGGCAGTTGGTTATGGCCTTGAGCTTCCTGTGGTTCGCAATTTGATAGAAAAACCTTTAACCCTGAAGAATTTCTATTGGGGGGAGAGAGAGAGCTAGGGATACAAAGCCGCCCCCATGTGGTCCAAACTCGACGGAGCCCGATGCATCCATTAAATGTCAAAACACACGCTAACAGTAATGGGGTAATTAGATTTGTGAGGGAATGTTCTTCGATTTCTCGATATCAGAAGACAGACCGAATCTGATAGGATCACTTTGTGTTGAAACGTAACGTGTGGATCTAAGACCTTTATTTGTTGTAATTGCTGGTTGTGGCAAGCCACTTGACGCCCGGACTGCCAATCAGCCATTCGACATCTATTCGTGATCAATTCACGTGGCTCGATATAACTAGAATTTCTCTGTGAATGCATGTACACATAGAGCTTGGCCGTCTATTCATTCTGCAATTGTAGGTTGTGATGATGATGGTGATGATGATAAATCTCTCTGCTTAAAGGAACCAGCGAATGTGCTGGCCAAAGTGCTGGTGGAACAAAGGTTGAGCCATCAATACTGCCAATTCCCGCGAATGAACACCGTTGATTGGGCAATTAAGCGAGAAAGGAACCAGGGCTTCGGGAAAAAAACACATTTTAATAAGATCTTCGCATCCGTTAGCCAATGAAATGCACGCACAAGCGAACGTTACATACCTTACTACTGCTCAAACAGACATCGTGAAATTAACGGACCGCGGATCTGAGTGTGGAGAGCTCACTGCTAGGCCCCACATATGTGACCTTGCCTTCTACCTTTCGGCAAGCCGAACAAACAGCATTACAACAACAGGACAACAGATGCTATTGGTAGTGTCCCCCTCCTCCCAATTCGACGAAGCTGTCTTATTAACCTTCGGGAATATTGCTGTTTTCTGACCTTTCAGATTTGACCCTTTCTTATTCCTGTGTCACGACCATGCAGAGCAGTCCTCGTGCACTGCGCACAATTAGGAAGCCAGGCCCATGTCCTTGCAACTTGTTCAGGAAATACCTAGATACGTCAAAAACCTTATCCTAGTTTTCCACCACTGAAATTGCGGGGGGGAGGGGGGGGAGGCTATGTCGATCCTTAAAAGAGATTCAACGCCATACAGCCAGCCACTCACCCTATGTTCCGTGAACCACCAAACTACATATCCAACGGTGATCACATTTAGAAATCATGTCCGAACAAAATTCTCTACCCAACGATATGCACAGTATGTAGCCAACATCAACCACCTCCCTCCCCCCCATCCCGATGATATCACATTCCCAATGATTGGCGACGATGACTGGGGCGATAAGTTCTGCCCCCCGCATGAAGCCGAGTGAGCAGTTATGATTCCTTAGGCGACCAGCTAGCTGGTTAGCTGGAGACCCCACTATACCGGAAAAAGGCATTCTTCCCCTCGAGCCACCAAATCGCGCAATCCGGCTCCCCGCGTGCTTTTGGGTAACACGACGTCAAGTATCGAAGTGCAGCATTTCTCGCTTGTTCGTCTCACGGTATTAAATCGATAGGCACGCACATATCGATGGATGGGGCCGTTCTCATGACTGGGTTCAACAAAGGCCAATCGAATGGGGATTTATGGAGAATGCTGATGATGAGAAGAACACAAATCAAATACTACCCGTGGAGATTTCAATAGAACACCATGGTCTTGAGTCTAGCTTGATGACCGGTGAACTTGCAAGCTGCTCGGACGACCGTATCTACGACGCGGTTTTTTTTGGGCCTGTCCTACAACCCTGTGTTACGTCCTTAACTGGAGCTAAAGAAGGTTACGGAAAAAGAAAACACGAGGGGGGGAAAAAATGTGCTTTGGAGACGTTGCTGTTGAACTGGGTGGCGCCACATACATAAGTAATAGAGAAGACTACTAAGCAATATCGATGGTCTCAAGCACTCCAGTGCACGCTACTTACATTTGGTCTATGTAGGAGATACAGATCATCTGGCTTCTCGATATGGCCAAAACAGACGAGATAAACGAGCGCTTTGACCGTGCATGCCTCACGGTTGGAATCTCAATTATGCGAGTGACTTCCGGTGATTAAATATGAAAAACACGCTCTTTTTTTGTTTTTGTTTAATTCATTAATTGCATTGAAAAACACGCTCGAAGTCTAACCAAGAAAAACAAGAATAATCCCCCACGCTTCTAGAATTATGAGACCTCTCTGGAGTCGAGTCTAAGCTTAGATCGAAATTCGTACCGCCGCTGGGCCCTTAATTACGTACTGATAGTTACTGAATTCGAGTAACCAATGCAAGGCAGGCGAGACTGCATTTCGCTAATTCTCCGTCTCAAGAGAGGACATCACATGAAAAGCACGTGGATAACCGAGGGCCTAGATTTAAGCTTTCCCCGACTTCGAGGTAATTAGGGATTTAGGAGGTGCGATCACAGGCAACAATAGCCTTGGGTTAGCAGAGGCCAACCGACCATCTCTCCTAGGAACGTACATGTACCTACATGTATGTACAACGCCAACATGGCAAGAAGTAAGATGTATTCAGTACCGCCACCAACAGCTTTGCTTTGGAAAAAACCACTTCAGGGCTCGGCCCGTTTTAAGCGGGTTGGGTTTCTGTGTTACGGACAGGAGGATCTACAAATATCGTCAGTTAAGTCAGAACGCTGGAGTTGCGCTTATGAAACCATGCTTCAAATCTTGCTTTTTCAACAGTCGCGTTTTGATATCGGGCAGGCTTGGCTTCTGTTTCTTACCGAAGCCGTGAATATTGCACTTCAACGCATCCCAAGGTCAAGTAAATTGGACCCGCTTGTGGAAATAATGGTATCGTACTGATAATAATGGTATTCTAGATGTCATCTTAGCTTGAGCTCAATGTCTCAAAGGATATGTGATATGTGCCCTCAGTGTGTGATTATTGGATGCTCTCCCTCTTCCTTCCATCTTTCCTTCCATCTTTCCTTCCCACCTTCCTATTTTTCTTCTCCTTCCTACTATTTTTGAGGTCTAAACAAAACAGTCAAGATAATCACGGGTCTTTCTAGAACTACACGTAGCTATAATGATGTATTCCTTCTCCCTTAGAGGCGCTGTTGATCTATCAGCTTGTATAAGGCAAACTAAGAATTCTTAACAATTGAATGGCACTACTATATACACAGGATGGAAGTGGAAGAAGAAGGTCCATAGGATATCATTTTTGACTTATCAATACTGTATCTCTTGCTTATATAGAATGAACCAAGATAGACATTTTTCACCGCGTGATTCATGGATGATCACTCGCCAGCGAGACAGACGAACACAAGGCTGGGGGTACAAGAAGCTAGGATTAAACCATTACTAAGGCTGTCGGGGAAAAGTAGACGTCGCCTGCTTATATAAAAAGGGGCTGGATATATTCTAGAAAAAAGACCAAAAAATTGTTTTGCCCTGATTTAGATTTGAACCCGGGTTTCCCTCACAGCTCTTTCGTCTACATGCTGATTTCTAGGCGTGTTACCGTTACACACCAAGACTTATAGATTATAAATCTATTCTAGGTAGCTAGATAGGCGAGACGGATTGTTCGCGCAGCACCTGGGCCTGCCCCTATCAGGTCTCTTACTTTTGAAGCTCTCACAATATCTAATGCCAAGGCGGTCTAGGCATCCATTTTTTTTTTTTCTTTTCCCAGTAAGCGTTGGCAGATGCATGATGGCAACCCACCCCAGAGACCAACTCTCAAACCCTCTTTCGAAATTTGCCGTGGCCAGACAATACTATTCTTCCTCCTCTATTTAGGTGAGCTGGCTTGCTCCTGTCACCCCGTCGTACACTTGAAATAGCCAATCTCTGGAAACTAATCTCCATCTCAGCTATCCACCTCATCTTCCACTTTCACCAGGTGTGGCCACCTCATGACACTAACGAGTAACGATGAGGAGGTCATAACGGCCATAGGGAATGGTGATAGTGGATCTATATTCGTGTAAAAGCTATCTAGACAGATGAGGTTATGTCGGAGTCGTACCTGTGTTGATACTGATGAACGACCTGGGAGACAGACACTGGATGATCATCCCCATACACAGCCTTATGGACTACCAGCTAATTTTGAATCCTTAGACAGATTCTTGCTGGTTTGAATATCCCGTCTGCGTGGTTTCTTTGTGTGGAGACATTGTAAGTTGAGTATGAGCTGAATGAGATTTTGGATATTAACGAATCCTATCAACTCGATGAACTTGACTTCGTTCACCGGGGAGGGAGTAAGAAATAAAGTTTAATCTTATCGATGATCCAAAGGCTGACAGGCAAGCCAGACTCTGAGTTGGTGACTCCTTGGCTTTTTTTGGGTGTCCATTGCGAGATAGCGGTAGGTTTGAGTGCTGTAATTTCACCGATAAAGGGGCTTTATAGGAGCAAAAATTAGGATGGGCATGTTCTTATGGCTGTCCGGAATCATCAATGCTTTGGTGTCAGCAGAGGTGTCTAAATTCTTGGCCCTGTTAGTGATCCCGAAGGGTGCCAATTGGGCACTAGTGTCTAGGCATTAATAAATATAGAAGGGCGGTCTTTAATTCTCGGGGCTCCTTCTCAAGATCTTATCGATTCGTTAAAACTTGCGTCTCTCCTGGTTGGAGGCTGTGCAAAAAGAAATACGATGGGTTTTAAATTGATGGGGTTAATTTCTCCGAAAAGCTAGTCCTGGCTTTGACCATGTGGTTATTTCCCGTCCATTAGACCACGGGTCATTAGTGCACATTGACATGTAGTTATATCTAAATCCCCAAATGGTTGTGCAAGCTTTTCAGCCCTGCGGCTGTTCCTGGTGTTCAATGCCAGCCAGCCAGAAGTAGGGGACCCTCCGGCTGATTATCGGTCTGAAAATTGCTATTAATGGTGGAGCTAAGCTACTAGATATCTCGCTTCTATCTGCGTAGAACGGAAGGTTTCGGATATAGAGCCTTCCGACGATTGGATCCTTTCGGTCTTCCTGGGTGGGGCAGGTGCCCTTTACGTAAAGATTCCAGGGTGGTATGGTTTCCATTTACTCCCTTTCTTGTGAGATCAGCTTCTGATATTCACTCCGGGGCTAACAATACTTGATAGCACAGTAACCAATTCAGGTATTTACCCCAATGGGAATTCTGGTCATTTCCTGACGCCACTCAAGCTGGTGAAAAAGTAATCAAAACGATACCGCCCCCCGCTCCAGTAAGCCAGCTACACGCTGAAATCGAGTGTAATCGTGGCATTTCTTGCCTTGAAAGCACAATCCAAGAGGTTAAAACTTCCCTCTGAAATCCATAGCAAATAAGGGGGGGAAGCTGGATGCATGACATTTGAGTCTCCGCACGGATCGCAGTTGATCAATTGGTCATGGGGCGGCTAGAAAGAGAAAAGAAAAAAGCTTTCTGAAACGTTACGGATTCCAAACCGTCAGCAAGCTACTGTTAGCGAGTAGGTTTCATAGGATACTCACAACTCACGATCTGGGATCAATGAAACAATCCACTGTCTTTGATTGAGAACGAGTGGATGGGTGTGAATACCGCTCCCCCACCACGACCCTCCCCGCATAAGCATCACGCAAAAGACGTGGTCACCTCTACAGGTTTGAGCAGCGTCTGTTGTGGGGAAGCATTCAAGGTGAACCAAGTCTAGATTCTAGAAAGGTATGCAGGTAGTCCCAATAAGACTTGAGGCCATCTAGCTGGTCCATCCTGTGCTCTCGGTTTCATTAGCTAGTTGATTAGGCAATGGTGAGTTTTAGGGTTTACCATTCCAAATTCAAGCCGTGGCACAGTTAGGAGAGACTCCAAAAGGGCTAATCACAGGATGCGTGTAACGGGAAAAGTTTTTTCCTTCTATAGCCAGGCAAGGTACCTGATCCGTCGAGGTCCGTACATACGTTAGTGTATGGCGGAGATGTTGGACAGAGTAAGTTATAGCCATCCATCATCATCATCACCATTACCTCGCTCACCTAGCTTGGCAACCTTTCTTTCAATACTTACCGAACGCCAGGTAGCACTCTTCTCACGGCGTACTCGAAACCCACCTCACCCCCCATAACCCCTCACTGCGGACAGAGACGTCGTAATCACTCGGGGGCTGAGCCTTGCCAAGCCCCGAGTGATACCCGATGATGCTCACGTCCCCAACAATACCGCAGTGGCGTGTAGTTGATATACCACAGCAACCAGACACCGGGGGGGGCAGCAACCTGTACGACCATTGGCTTTGCCGTCGTCGTAATCCTCTGCCGACATAGCCGGATAAAGAAAACAGGCTTGGGACCTACGAGTCCTTTTCCTGCAGTGCAACTTTGACTCATGATTGGGGAGCTTTTACGGAGGCAGCTTTGTCTCTTTTCATGACGATGATGCGTCGCGTACGCAGACAGAAGTAAGCTTAAGTTTTCTGCCCTAGCTACTCTAGTAGAAGTATCGATCTCGTCTACTAAAAACAGAGCAACTCGGATCAACTCCGTCTTAGTACATACGTATACCCGAGAGATCTATAGAGTACATGAAGTAGGTAGGTAGCATCATATCATTCCATTCCTCCACGATCATTACTCAAATGGCGTAGAAGAAACACCCAGTAGTACGTATATCTCCAGGTGGCTCGTGGGGTCGACGCTCTGTAGAAAAATTAAAACTGTAAAGTGGTATGTATATACAACCTTACTCCCAAAAAAAAAACCGCCCAGCATTTCATATTGTGTTGATGACGCTAGGGCCACACATCGATACCAAGATGGATGTTCACGAACTACTATATGTACAAAATATTTATACCAAGATCATGGAATAGGGTTATCGCGTCGTTTCTGGGCGTACGTATTCATTCATATCACTGCCAATATTTACTTCTACACAAGCATTCACAACACTGAACAGTTCCAGATAAGCAAATTGAGGTCTCATTCCAAGTCAATGTAAATTGCCTAGATATATCCATGTCTGCTCTAGATCCTGGAACATACACCTCTCGACCACACCCTCCCCCGAGAGAAAAAAAAAAAAATAAATAGAGAAAAATAAAAGGCATAAAAACACGTAGCCAACCCTGTATTCCCCAAACCAAATAAACAGATCCCCAAACCAAAGACAAAAGGGAAAAAAAAAGTAGTAGACCAGGAAGAATATAAAGAAAAAGGTGGAGTCACTCCAAAGAAGCGGTGGGGAATCTGTCGCAATAAGGAAGCGCTATTCGCCTAAAATAATAACAGTAAAAGTAAAAAGCAAAGCAGAGAGTAGTTGAAAACAAGAAAAGAAAAATCGAAGAGAAATTCTAACGAACGTGTTTTTTTCCCCCTGACAAAATACCCATTTCTCTAAAGCACAGACTTAGCCAGTTAATGATGCTACACGAATACGCCCGGCCCCGAGACAGACAAACTCCCATCGTCACACATAAAATGGTCGCAGTGGGCGACCAATTCTCCAGATAAATATTGTTACGACTATGATCCGACTAACAATCCAACCCTTCGGTACACACCCTCAACCGCGTCCAACATCCCGTTCGCCTCAACGACCTTCTCAATGTTCTGGCCAATCTGCTCAACAGCTTCCGGCGCCGGGGCTGGGGTGGCCTCCTCGAAGAAGTCTTCTGGCTTGGCTTGACCTCCTACAATCATTTCAAGTCTCTCAAGTAGAGTGTTCACCCCTTGTCCGGGGAAGAGCTCATCCAGCGACTTGGACTCTTCCACCTCCTTAGACTCCTTAGGAGCAGGAACGCCCCACTCCTCCTCGTAGGCATCCATGAGGTCCTCAGGTGCTTCATATTCATCATCATCCCAGTTATAATTGTTGTTGACAAAGTTATTCGCGTTGCGGGGGAATGGGCAGAAGCCATCAGCAACGTGGGGAAGCGGATTGAGTTTATTCTCGGCGAATGAATCATCAAAATCAGAATTAACCTTTCCACTCAAGTCTTGAATGCTTGGACCCTCTGGGAGCGAGGTAACGGCAAACACTGTAGATGAGCTTCCTCCCCATGGATATGCCAAAGGCCAAGAGTCCTCAGAGACAGCAACATTAGGGTTGATGTCTTTGCGGGTAGATCGAACGGGTTCGGGCATTGGTGTAGATGCGGTCATTTCTGGGGCTGGGGTGGCAGCAACGGTTCCAGATTCGATGGTTGCAGCAAGGTATGCCGAGAATGCAGGTGAACCAAGAAGTGTCTTCGTGAATTCACTGATCTTGGCGTTCTCCTCTCTCAGCCTAGCATTCTCGTTCTGCATCTCGAGGTTTTCGTCTTTGCACTTTCTAATTTCCTCCTCCAAATCCATAATGTAACCTATGAATATTGCGTTAGCAACTTCCCCCTAAAATATTGTGTAATGGGGAATTACCCTTCCTCCTGCTCCTGAATGCGCGGGCTGAGACTTTGTTCCTCAGCTGTCTCCTCTCCTTGCTCGTCAATTTCTTTCCTTCCTCACTTGCAAGCAGTCTCTCATCCTCATCCATCTCGTCCTCATCCTTCTTCTTCAACTTGGGAATATTAGGTAGCACAGAAGGTGAACGAGCCGAAGTCGATGCCTTTTGAATTCTAAGCGAATTCATAATCTTCTCCACACTTTCCTCGACACTGTTTGGTGAAGCCATCTTCGCCTGAGCCTTCTGCTGAAGCCACATCTGTTGCTGTTGGAAGACAGCCTGCTGCTGATGAATCCCAGGGTAGTACCTCCCGGCCGTAGCCATAGGCGCAACCGCGGGGACTGGCGGTGGTGCAGATACCAAACCCACCTCTGACTTCACTGAGGTTTCTAGTGCATCGAAGGGCGAGATGGTGCCAGGGTTTACAAAGTCTGTAGACGAGTTGCCATATGAAGGCATCATGTCATTGCTGGAAGGAGAGAGGTAGTCGTTGCCAAACATGTAGGAGTTCGTATCTGGTGACATCGATGTTGAAGAAGGCAGGAGGTCTCTATAATAACCAGCGTCTACAGGAAGACTTCCTGTTTGTTGTGGGTGACGGTCGTACTGATGACTAGGGCCAGAGAAGCCGGTAGCCGAGTGGGTGTTGGAAGTCTGGTTCAAACTGGACGAAGTCTGTGACGAAAACGAGACTTGGGGCAGGGTAGGTGAGGGAGATGTAAAGGCACCGTCGTAATTAATCCAAGAGTCGATGTCGTTATTGAACGAGTCTTGGTTGCTAAAGGGCGAGCTTGAGGGGTTCCTGCTCATACTTTGTTGGGAGGACATTGCAAACGTGAAGGCAGTAGCCTTTGTAGAAGCTGGGAGTTAGACAGTGGTAGAGCAGCGGTGTTCACTTTAGTACAGTAGGTTTGAGTATCCCTCTGGGAGCTGCTGATGAGATGGGAGACGTATGAATAAAAGTGACCGAGAGATTAAGCGAGAGAGCAAGTATTATTTCGGTACTTACAGAGGATGTAGTTAAAGAAGTATGGGGGGTGTTATGGTATGTATGTATATCTTGGGAGAGTAGTGAATAATAGATGTTTATTGTATTGGAGTGGTTATGGTGACGATGATGAAGAGGGAAGAGAGATGATGAGAGGAGGAGGAACGGCTGAATGGTGTGAATGGCGTGAATGGAACGAGCGAGAGGTGAAATGGTGGTGGCAGCAAATGAGTAGGTAAATGTGTAAGTTACAAGGGCGGCTGTGTAGGGGTGGGTGGGAGAAGTAAGAAGAGGAAATTCGGGGGAAGATGCTGATTTGATTGATTCAAGGGAAAGCAAGCCCAGGATCTTGCAGGCATCTGGGGAGGAAGGAAGCAGGCTGGGGCTGTGCCTTGGACTAGTCTCGGCGGATTCGTGTTCACCCGCTCTGCGATGCTCAAAACGGTCCTTGCAGCGCTTGGCGCCTTAGATCCCAAGCTCAACTCAGGCATTCCTCTTCTTACTTGGGCTCTTCCTCACATTTGTTCTGCGAATTTTTTAACAGCCAGCACTGATGACTGGATCAAATAATTCCATCACCCCAGTACTTTTACACCAGTCGCTGGCTGAGTGCACTGCTCTCGGCCGTTGTCGCTTCTAACAATAAATCCTGTGAAGCAGCGGGCTATGGAAGCTTGTAGGAAACGAGCGAGTAAGAAACCGAATTCCACAACCAAACAGAAGTGCAGACTGCAGCCTAGGAAGTATCACATCGTGGGAAAGCGGGCGGGTATCATGGCGTCTCCGCAGAAGATCATTTACAACATGTTGTACTCTACTCCACCTGCCTACTCCTTCATATTACACGCCGCCTCACTCTCAGCCGAACTCGAGATAGTCGTTATTTTCGAAATGGCTGATTAAGTATATGTATCCTTAGATTCTGCGGAATGGGACACCTACACTCGTTGGATCATTACCTATAAACTACATTTATGTACCTGTATGTAATGGCTTTTCAGAGCTGGTGGTAGACGATGCTTTTAACCCCTTGGATCCTTCTTCCTTTACCGGCTCCTCTTTCTTTCGAAGACTGCAAGGCAGATGGACTTCTCCTACTCTGGGCGCTTGGCACCCACTTCTTCCTTCCTTTCCCAAGGAGCTTACGTCACGTACCCTGGTTCGTGTATGACATAGGGTTTGGGGCTAAAGTGCACGTGTGGCTTGCAGGCAGGCTCAGCGTTACTATTTATAGCTTGGAGGCTCTGGTCCTTAGGCAAAGAAAATCCTTATGATATCCGAAACGGAAAAGATTCACAGTGGCTGATGATTTATTAGGCCCCACTCAGAACTCTACGCAAAGCCACACGGCATTAGAGGCGAGGGATCCGGTAAGGATTCATAGTACCGGACCGTGCTCCAGGAGAATGGACGGAACTTTCCGTCTATCTCTTTCTCACACCCGAAACTCACTACCGAAGCTCTCTCGGAAATCTAGCTAAGAAAAACTGTGAAGCGATCTTTCGGTTCGACATGCTTGAGGATCAAATACCTACATTTACGTACCTATGGGTCCGACAAGCTTCTGTGACTGATTCTGGAACGTGTATCATCTAAACGGCCCTGAGACGAGCTTGAGGACTAGGTACCTCCCCTAAGATCGCGGAGGGGGGGTAAAGATCTCTAAGCTTCAGCTCTGATAGGCCGAGGAAGCAAAAACACCACTTGTTTCGTTTACTTTTGGTTTGGCTAGTATAAACTTCTCGTTCGTTCTATCATACCGATACCATGCCAGCCGTGAAACAAAACATTCATGTTGATCTTTGGGATGCCGCTTGAAGTTCCAGAGGTAGCTCGGCAGCAGTTCCTACCAAATTAGTGTAGTAACAAACGCCGAGGTCAGTGCGGAATGAATATGAAAGCTTAGTAAATCGCCGTTCCTGGAACCTTTTACTTAGTACAGCACCCCGACTTTGGTTGACATGGCTCTTGGACCCTTCACATAGTAACAAAAAGTAAAAATCTCGGGATATATATTCATTTCTAGATTAAATCCACATGCAATAGCCAACTCAGTATCGACTTCTTTCAACCAGTCCGAGCGGGGCCAGCAATCATACTATCGATATTGCCGTTATGCATGATGGAATGCTCCGTAGCCTACCCCTCCCTCTGGGTGGGAAGGATGAGCTTGTTCAGGAGTCTTCTTCTGGGTCGTTTCATCGGACAAACCCTCCTAAAGCAACTTATAGCGGGTTTCCGGGGTGATCTCCTTTCCAAGACCAGGAGACTTCGTGGAATCAGATTTATGGATACAACACTTAACTCTATGCAGTTGTGGATATGTGCCGGACAAGTGTGCTAATATATTATTGACGATCGGAATATTCGCCGCTCACTGAATATGTACCTTACTTCCCGCTGTCCTGGTACACCCCCGCCAGAAATAAAGAAAAAGCAGTCTTCCTTTGGCGGGGAAAGATCTAACTGAGCAAAAGGTCCTTGATACTAACGTGCCAGCGCTTGATTGCATACATCATGGTCCGGGCTGTCACTGTCCTGCATGTAGCTTGTGGTTCAACTGTCGCCACTCACAAACATCGGTAGTAAGTTCCCAGTGGAACGTCCGAAGGAAAGAAGAAAGAAGGTGGACGCTAGCGGGGAAGCTAACTTATTCAAGACGAGATGAAACATCGAGAGATTTGGTACTGGGCTCCTACTAACTAAATCAAGACGAAACTGTGAAAAGGGGGTAATGATAAATCCAGACTTCGAAAAATACTGGAGAAAATCTATCTATACTATAGTGCGCGGGTTGAATCCAAGCGATGATGACTATAGTATCATTGACTGCCTAGCTGGGTTTGGGAGAAATGATGGTCTGATCGTAAGGCGGTCTCTGGTCCTCTCGATAGTTGTGAGCCGTCTAGTTTGATATATCCAGGTAAATCGATATCTACTTGTTTCGCAAGGCGGAGTTATAATGTCAATCCTATTAGGATGTCCTTCCAGCGCATGTACGACGTGGTGCACTGCCCGCTCATGTCTCTCGAGATAGGAAAACTCGGGATTATATGGAATTCCTCACACAGTGATTAACGAATCTCATAATCCCACGAAGCATAGTGGTTCAATAGGTATTTATTTCATAATAATATCTGTCAGCATTCTTGATGTTGGGATTCTAGATCTTTTTCCTTGATTTGTGGGTTTTGTCTTTGGTGCAGATCGATTCAATACTACTGGTCATGTTTGTTAATCGTTGATGCATCCATAAGTCACTAGACAGAGCACATACCCACTAGACAGAGTAAAATTCTCCACTAGCTTACAAGTAGACAACCACTTCAACAAATAGTTGTATCCGTCTCCAAGCGTTCCTCCAATCGGCCCAAACCATACAAAGTACATGTGGCGAGTGATATCCTATGATTTCTAGATCTGCGTCAAACCGATATCTGGTTCAGTCTCTGCGCATATTTTATTATGATCGTCGGGCTTTTTATTATTCGTAGACATCATGTGAGATTTTTTGCGCTTGACATAATTCGATCCCCAAAACTTATGTAGATATGGTATCAAATAAATTAACGCCAGGGCCACAATCCCGAGTCGCCGTGGATCGGCCGAAGCCAGTCTGTGGTATTGTCCCATTACCGAGCGAACCAACACAGGCACGAAAACCACCACCTGCGTTCTGGACAAGGTATAATTTGGAGAACAGATGTAAAATAAACTTGTTTTTATTGATGCCGCTGCGGCCATCTGCTGCATCAAAATATTCCAAGATTCGCTAGATAGGTCGTTAAAACTTCCTCTTTTGGTAAGTGTATGTAAATCAATTGCTTCCATCTGGAGGTAACAACCATCTGGCTTAGACACTTTTCCATTTGCTAGGAGTTTAGTCTACGTATATATAGCATCTAAAACCCAAATACCGGACTGTGGGATATAGGACATCGCTTATCTTTAATTCTATGCTTACGGATTGTGAATGCTCAGAACCACCCATACCTATTAACGCCAACGACATAAGGATTAGATGAATAAGTGGTATACCGGTAGTTAGGGTGGCGATGGAATTTTCATGCCACGAATGGAAAGGAAATGTCGGCAATATTGGTGGGGAAAACCTGAGGTATTCTATAGGTTAGATTTGAGTAAGAAAAAGATCATGACACACCTACACAGCAATGGATTGTCATGATCATGGAACAATGGCAAGATAGTTACAAAATTAAGTCACTTCTTTTTGTCTTGTCCGACAACAAGTAACCTACATAATAATACGTATATGGTTCCCCCAGCCTTAAAGATAACATGCGAAAAATGCCAAGTCTCTGATAAATTTTCAACCACGATTGATATTAAAAATCCGTAAGATAGAAGGCTGGATACCGTGATGAAGAAGAGTTCTATCATTACGGATTTTTAATATCAATCGTGGTTGAAAATTTATCAGAGACTTGGCATTTTTCTCATGTTACCTTTAAGGCTGGGGGAACCATACTTAGTTGAATTAACCCATGTCATAATTTGATATTGATCAAGACATTAAGATATTTACATATAACCCAGATACTTAAACCTGTGATGAATTAGCGATCAACCTCTAATACTCTCGAATCTCGCATTCGCCGGTTGGTGTTACAGTTGATTCGTTGTTCTCTCTATTGCGAGCAACCGGAAAACGATCTGCGCACCGCCACCAATGTCAATGATTGCAAAAGGGATTTACTCTCTCTAGAATCCTTGATGGTTGGATATGATATCTTCAAAAAAAAGAAAATATATGCAATGAAGCTCAATCCCGGACTCGAACCGGGGTTGCCGGAAGTTTAGCTCAAAATCCAGAGTGATAACCTCTACACTAATCAAGCGGTGCGTTGCGGGCCAATCGGACATATAACCCCTCTCCTTCAATCCAATCTTGTATTACAAGGTTCCGGTATTCGTTTGCCGCTTTTTCTTCCCTGTTTGGCCATTCGTGCTTGTTGATCATATGATATCACTCGGTGATTAGCGGATTTCTTACCTGCATTTAACTCCGAAACCACTCTCCACACTACAAGATAAACTAGAAGGAAGGCTCAAAGAATAGAAAACAGATAACACACATCAAATCTAGACTTGTATGACCACAGACTATCACCTATTCATCGGAATTTCATGTACGTAGTAGGTCCAACAGTGTATCCCATCAACCGTAGCAACCGAGTTAAGGACCCGATTGGGTCCCACTTGAAATAAAGTGACCTTTCTTAAATTCACAACACCAGCTTCGTGAGTACTATATTAGGAGCTCTTATTGGGATCGGTTGATAAACTTTCCCGCTTCTTTGTTATTAGTGAGCAGGGCTGGATTATATCGTTTTTGTGTTTTTATCGAGGTTAGAGTTGCAAAGTACCCAATTAAAACCTCAGGCTTCTACGGTTCATGGGATAGCGTCATATCATTAACGTTTTTTTATGAATGAACACCGTTGCGTAGAATCTTAAGTCTAGTTATCCCTGTTTTTGGATCTCTTGTTGAAGAACGTCTTGCTTATAGTTTCCATCATCGATAATACCAAGCTCGCTAGCGCGCGCCTGAGGGATCAAGGCTGCCTCAAACTAGATCACCCTGAAACGTATCCTCAAATCAAAATCCTTACTAATAAAATACATTTCTAAGCGCTTTACCTAAGTCCCTTCCCGAGTATAGTGGATTCATCTAGATTATAACTACAGGCGAGTAAAAACTGTGTTCTAAGTCCGAGTGGTGAATCATTAATTATCAATTGGACTCAAGGTCACCACCCATGATATTTCAATGGTCGCCTAATATCCTTCATATCTCTTATTAGGTCAGGGAAAGAAGACTTTCGCAAATAGCGGGATTCGGCCGACCAGGCTCGTACATATAGGTCATAAAGAATCCAGCGATCCACTACTGAAACCTCTCTGAGATTCTAATGTGCTATGATAGGCCGGCAAAGCTTGCTAGATACGAACCTAGGATAGAGTGTGAGATATCTGCTGTGCCAGTACGCACAGTATTAAGTATGATGCTCGATATCTATTTTCTAGTGTATCTATACTATGGTATTTAATGACTCCGGCGGGCATATGCGTCACGCCCCCAAGTTGCCTTGCTCATTCTACGGTGCAGCAATATTTTTAAACGAAGCGCCTGATAAACGGACTCCGAACATATATATATTCCCTGGAACATGCAGAGCTTCTCCACTTTGCTAGATCTAGAGTAAGTACAGCCAGCTGCAAAATCTTCTATTTGGCTCCCTGTCCCATTGCTGAAAATCTCTCAAATGGTGAGTATGGTTTCGAGCGGTCTCGCCCCCATGAGGGGCTAGTCTCAAATAAATAAAACGGCTTTATGGTCAAGTTGAGACCCCAAAATGCTTGGCTACAACCATTTAGTTGGGAATCATATCCAATCACTCGGATGAGAATCCTCGGAGCGAAACCCCTAGCCAAAAATTGGTGATGTCAGCATGACTGAGAGCAGAGTGTTGATTGACTGGGGATTCTTCGTTTATGCCATGTCAAACCCCTACATATTGTCCAAGTTACAAGTTCTACAAGCATCATGTCTTCATCCGGATCCTCCAACGAGTCTTCGGCGTTTCATGACACAGAGATTATCACCGCAGACGACAGTTACTCGGATTGGGAGGTGATCACAAACAGATCCGAGTCAAAGTCGCCAGAACCAGGCGAACCTCCTCAAAGCCCTTTGCACGCAGTAACTCTCGCACTTGCCGAGATCAGAAGGCTGTTTGCAGACCCGGTAACAGACTCTCCGCTACCATGCGAACCTGCCGAACCATACGACGAGCCAACGGAATCCCCCGAGGTAATCAAGAAGCTACGCAAAGAATCCAAACCAACAATGGAAGAATTTGACGAGTCAATCGAGCATTCTGCAGCTCCTGGTATGCGAAACCCGACAAGCTCGGTGGATTCCATCGGGGAATCCGCGGGAGTCAAGTTGGTAGAGTCGGAACTGTTCAACATCCGGAAATCACACATTCGTAAGGCCATAAAAGAATTGGAGATGGTAAATTCTTCTATGCTAGCTACCATCACACGCGGAGATCTAGATGACCCGAGAGCCGATGATAAGCCTAAGCTGGCTAGGAAAAAAAGGCAGCGTCGGCATTCATCTACGAAAAGGAAACCGAATACTGCAGAATCTTCAACGTCCCGCAATTTAGAGGAATTTTTTCCCTGCCCGAGTCAAGCTGATCAGCATGAGCCTTTCCCTGCTTTTACAATTCCAGCCCCCGGGTCCCCACCGCATTTCGCACCGCCTAGCAACTCAATAGCCTGTAGGTTTCGGGCAGTAGGTTTGTACTATGACCCTGAACCTAAGCCAGAAGAAGACTCTTGAGACATCGGTATTCCCCCCGAGCCTCCGCGTATTAGTTATCGCGAAACTAACATCGTGTAGTCATTTCCCCATATATGTCCATTATTGCTAGAGATTCTGGTCATATAGGGTGTCAAATAAATTAAGCAAGGCTGTTTTCATCGAAGGGAGGAATGTGTGGTGATGTATTTGGTGAAGTGCTGAGGTGGGGACAGCGATTTTCTAGTGCACCTCCTGCGGTTAGGGCTTCAAAGTTGGCAATTAATTTACAATTCATACACAAGGAGCTCGAAGTTTAGAAAATGTATTCAACAGTTTTAGGCATTATAAATTTGAAACTGCAGCGCTTTTTATATACTTAGTAATGGTGTATGTCTCTATTCTACTGTGTCGAAGGAAGAACTTGATATTTTCTGTCTCCCAAGTAGTCTAAGACTCCATGTACATATATGTACTCGGTAAATCGAAGTTACAGTAGCTAGCAGTGAAATACAGTCTTCCGATACACGTAGTCCATGCCATTTTGGTCATCTCAGATTTCTCCATGGTGGATTACATCTCATACGCAATGCAAATCTAAGAAAATAATTTTCCTATCTAAGAAAATCGCCTTACAGCCTCTATGGGGATCAATTTACTGCTCAACAAGAATAGGATTTCCCTAATTGGTGAGTGAAATGGCAGAGAAACCGAAGCAAGTACAATTTGGCTGCTATTAGTAGCCTATGAGGTCTCAAGAAAGGTTGCTTGAACTTTTTCGAAGTTTGTTCTACCTACTAGCTTAATGAAGTCCCTCGATAAATTATATATATAATGTGTTATCAAGCAGAGTAGTGAGAGTAACATAAATTTGCAAAAAGCAGAAAAGTACCAGCACATGTATCAAATGCATGTCCTATCAAATGCGTAACATCAGAGTGTGGGGGCGTACCAAAGAAAAGTCCAAATACAATAAAAAGAAAAAAGAAAAAGAAAAAGAAAATACACATACCAAGAGGGTCCTTGGGTCCGCAAGACCATACAAATCTCAACCCAAATCAATATCTAAAACAGCACCCAATGTGCAGGCAAGCGATAGACCAGCCAGGATCCAAAGAAGTAACAACTTCATCCCCCAAAAGATTATCGACGTCGCCTAAACATCATCGAAATAATTCCACCATGGAAGCTCTGGGCTCCAATTCTTTGGTTTCCCAAAAGGTCTGATTCCCATTCTGCGTGCCTCCTTCTCTCTATATTCCCTTCTCTGGATCAATCTCTCGCACAATTTGGTGAGCGACCACTTTGTCCTCCGCTCACCAGTGGCACCCGCGTCTTCAAATAACACCGTCCTCAAATAATCCGCAGATATATTGGATCCCCTGAGTTTGAGGTTTGGATCTCCGACTGTCCAGATATTCCATCTATCATCTTCTTTAGGGGGGCGTACAGGGCGCCCGCCACTGCTCATTCTGGCACGCTTTGAGCGTGGCTCCTGTTCACCTTCGCGAAGAGTATATGCAACGTTCGGGTCGAGGTTCATGTACAAAGCCCGGAATTCCTCAAAGCTGATATCATCTACTTGCTGCTTCCAGGGTTCCTGTTTCTCCCCTACTTTGCGCGACTGCCGTAGTTGTTGGCCTGGCTCTTCATCATCATCAGAGATTTCATGATAAAAACGCTTCTTCGTATTAGAGGGGCGTGCATATATGGCTGAGGGATCAAATTTATGGATTGCTGGGTCGTAAATGAGGCTATCTTGCATCTTCTCTTTGCCCTTGCCTTTAACTTTACTTTTGACCCCGGCCTTTTCTTTTGACTTTTTCTCTGCAAGGCGCTGGTTATACCGATGCATCGACAAGACATCTTGCTGAAATTGCAGCTTTGCTTCAAGTTCCTCGGGAGTGAGATTCTCATCAGGGGGGCCCAGATGCTGTTGGAAAAACTTCTTTTAACAGCGGCTTCTCGGGATAGAGATGTGAGAGAGAGAAAACGTACTGGGAGGTATTTCTCGAGATCAATTGGCTGAGGAGAAGAATGGGAATCAGAAACTGTGGAAGCATAGTCATAGGACTCTGGGTTTGTGTATCTCGGTACTGGAGAGGACAGATCGCCGTTCCTGGATAGGGGTTTCTTTTGTTAGTTATTCCATTTTCCAGGTGTTCTGTTGGACAAAACTACACATTTACCAAGAGGGGCGGTGAAAGAAAGAAAAAGAAGGAAGGCAAAGAATTTAAGCACGTACCATGGCTCATCCAACTCTGACTGGTTAGTTGATTTTTGTTGTTGACCTTCATCAAAGCCTTTCTGTACTAGTCCTTCCAGTTGATTATTCTGAAGAGTTTGCAACCCTTGTCGTGGGGTTTCACCAAAATTCTGCGGTTCTTGTTGGATTCCTTCATGCTTGACCGTTCCGTTATTTTGACTTTTCCGGAAATCGAGAAGTTCCTGCTGGGCTTGGCTTCCTCCAGTATCGTTGGGCAATTCAAGATGTTGATTTTTCAATTTCCCTTGTTGGCTTCCGACTTCAGAGTTGAGAATTTCCTGATATTGACTTCCTCCAGTGTCGTTGGGCGATGGCTCGGGATGTTGATTTCCCAATTCTTGTTGTTGGCAAGGAATTTCCGCAGATTTGATCATTTCTTTGTTTTCACTCTGCCAAAAGTTGAAAAGTTCATTGCCATCTGAGGCCCCTCCAGGATCACTAGGAACTTCGGAATGTTGTTCCCCCATCAAGTTCTGCAAGCCAGAGTTGTCATGGCCGTCAAGAGCCCATTCTTCTAGGGTATTTGGCCCCCAGTACTCCGGCTGTTCGTCTTTGATTACTGGTGGGGGGCTTGATGGTCCAGCAACATCCTCTAGCCCTTCTAGTCGCTGGTTGAAAGTTTTGGACCAAGCCTCCTGATCTCGAGCCCATTCTTCTAGTTGGTTTTCATAATTCGTCTTGTACTCGTATTTACTCATATGGTTGAACTTTGGAGAGTATTTTTCGAATATTTGAATTGTTATTAAGGATTTGAATAATTGGGACCCGAACCTATTGAGACGGTTGACTAAAGATGGAAAAAAATGATTTGAAGTGCCAGGACTACGAAGAAAGAGTCAATGACACTGGAACTGGTGTTTTGACCGTGCAGAGCAAAAAGTGACAAAAAAAAGGCTGTATGAATAAATCAGTTGATTTGGTTTTCAAAAACAGGTTCTAACCGGTTATATAGATACGATAAAATCCAAATTCCCAGATACTATGGTATACCTTGGAGGAGAATTTATGACGAAATCACATCCTGATAAATTTATACTATGGGTGTTTGTGTAAGAAACCATATTTCCTGTTTTTTAGGACAGATTTATCAGGCTAGTGTAAAGAAATTTCGGCACTAGAATACGGTTCTAGACTATTTTGGTGATTAGGGTGGTTTGTATGAAAGGGTGTTGACTGTGGGAGCTGTACGTGGTGGATACTTATATATCAGTGATGGCCGGCCCCAACGAAATACTATGTGGAATGACTGCAAAGATTTCTGGTAGTCGATACTGAAATGAGTATGAGTAGTTAAAGACCCTAATCTTTAAGTACAGATGGTTTTTGTGGGGTAAATGGTGTGATTTCGGTCGATCGATATACACGTATTTTCCTATCTTTGTATTAATGTACCGCCGGTTTCGGAAGCAGGACGTCTTCGAAAGGAGTCAATGTAAGGAATTCTCATTATCCCTCAATATATGACTCTTTCCCGCCTTATTCTGTCCAATTAGCGGTTACCTTTGACGAAAAAAGACTTGCAACTTCATCGAGTGATAATCCATGATTACTCTCGTCGTCAAAATATTTTCCCTCGAAGAAACAAATATGTGAGTTAAAATATGGCGCGAGAAGGCATAGGGGTGGGGTGTATCAACTTCAGAGGAACTTTTTTTGTATGAGAATTAGAGAAAATTCCACCGTTGGGCTAGGCGCTAGTACCATTATGGGAGTAGATCTCCCAATTTCTATAGATTGATTGGCTGCAAACGCCGAAGTTTACACACCTACCCACCATAGCTTCTCGAGCCATAGGTTAATCATAGAATTTCTATAACATAGGAAGTCAACTCTAGTTAGCTAGCGTCGTACTTTCTTTTTTTCGTCCCGATCGACCTTTCTATGTGTTCATCCTGCCTTTTTTTTTTCTTTCGGTCTTTACACGTGCTTTCTATGATTTCGTCTGTTTAAAATGTGGTCTGATATGTACGTATGTGTACTAATATTTCCGTTTTTCTTTTTTTCATCCTGGCGTGGGCTGTATAAATGTAGGTTGTAATTTTTCCCTTAGTCATGGCTCGATCTGTCTATATTCTCCTCATAAGTCGAATAGTGGACGGCCACGAGCAGGAAGAACACTTATACTCAGCTACTTGTAGCTAGGCTCGAGCTTTGAAGTAACCCATAATACAGCTGTCACACATCGTTTGTCTGTTTGCACAAACACGTAGGTTACATGTAGTTAGTACATGTATTAGAGCTAGAGTTACGTGTCAGAGATCGATCGTGTATACAATACCTATATACACAAATAAGAGCGAGATTAGGTAGAGAAACCAACCCCCGAAAAGCTCAGATCGTCTCATCTTGTAGTGACTTCACAAAGACGAGGACTCGGTGGTTCAACCACACTGGCCGGACGTAGATGTGGAAAGCACCACCTCAACATCATGAGTTGAAATAGGACAAATAAGATCCCTGCAAGACCTACTTCCGCCGAAACTCCCCCACTTGTCTAATCCCAGCTACTACAGAATTATTAATAGACATGAAGCAAAAATCCTCGAAGTTTTGTTTCTCTGTGCCCATCACCACGCACGGGATACCCCAACCTGCATGCCAAGAACAGACTAACCGTTCGAGTGACATCTCATGATCCCACATCCACACATATAGCGCCAGGGGGTGATAGGCCTACATTCTTCCACCATGGAATGAGACGAAGTAGGTTATATAATATCTATCGATCAAAATCTACAGTACCAGAAATAGAGGATGTCGTAGTTCTACCGTAACCCATATTCGGTAAAGCGCAGCATTAAGGAGCAGAAACATCGAGCCACTCTGGTATCACCGCCACATGTATCACATTGGTGCGTTCTCTTACACTCCATCAGCATAGATACGGTATTGCTGCCATACCTGTACGGCATTTCTTGGCGTGATGATATCCTCCTTTTTCTATCGAGTGATACCTGGTGACTACAATAAATACAAATTCCCCCGGCCCGTAGGAAATAGATTTCGTATTGATTGACCGACTGATAATTCATTAAAAATAGATTTTCGTGTGAAACGGTGGGGGTTATTTTTACTATTATTCTGATACCCAGCTGGCTCTGGATCTTGTTTAGTTTTTCTATGTAACGAAAAAACGCGTGACAAATTCAAAAATCACTTTTGCGGTTTTAGCCGAATTAACAGACAAGCAAGTCCTTTCTAAAATTTATTTTGTCCCTTCCATTCTCTGATCGACGGATCGGTCCAGCGTTCTGAAACCAGACCTTAAGCTTATTTTGCGTGACAGTATAGTTCAGAAGGCCGTTCACTCGCCTCAAGTTTGTATGCACGGCGAGTGAATGAGTCAGTGAGTTTACTACAATCAATGATCAATTACCACACAATCATCAGTCAGCTTGTGTGCTAGTGAAAGTACGAGTGATAGTTCATGATTACGATCTATAACCTTTTTTTATCTTACTGAGTGGAAATAAAACCGTAAAAACTGGCTTGTAAACAAACAACATTTCTCTAGTACATTTTTACCGCGAGAATAATGTTCCGTTGTCATTACTTTTGTGTTTGTAACCGCATTTTCTTCGCGGAAAGGTTATTTTTTTTGTCACATTGTTAGAAAAACGGTGAATAGTGACTTATTGCGTATTTTGTTTCCGAATCACACGTATCCAGGCTTCGGGTTGTATACAGTTACCCGATCGACCAGCCCACCACACCACTGAGGCCCAACCTTGCCAGGTATGCAAACACTAGGCCGAGTGATAACTCATGACCAAACTCCACATCCGCTGCGCGCCACACCTCTCCACCAACAACATACACAACCAACCACCCTACCTATCATCACTCTCCCCGTGAATCCTTTCACAACACAGCACAGCACAGCACATCAGATCTTCTCGCTCCGGGCGCCAAGCCACGCACTAATCCCACACCGGTCTATATCCCCGATTCGCGAATCGGACGGGCCCAAACAACGGCGGCAGCAGATCCCGGCCCGGGGTTGATCTACAGGGCTGCGTCTTACATCTGCGGGGTAGGGAGAGGTGGGTTGGGTGGTAAACCTGGTATGGGATGCGTGGTTGTTGTTTGGTTCTCTGCGTGGCCGGACGGGTAGGCGGGTCATGGACGGGTGCCATGGACGGCTGGCCTACATATGCGAGATCGATTCGATCAAAAACAAAAACAAAAAAACAAAACAAATAACATCAGGCGTGCAGAAAGGATTGGCCCGCTGTCATGAGCCCGGGAGGCAGGGGGAGGGGGGAGGGGGAGGGGGGAGGGGGAGGGGGGAGATGGACTGTAGATGGAGGGTAGATGGGCTTTTGGCTTACAGGCTAGCATAGCATGAGCCTGTGGGATTTTTTTTTTTTTTTTTTACCAATGGTTTTTATTTTTAATTGTGCCAGTACTATAGCACGTGGAGGGCTTAACTTTTGAAAAAAAAAGCTAATATTTACACATCTAGAGATACTGTTCGGCCTCAGGTCCGTCGTGTGGTAACATCCTCCACATTCCAATCCGCACTGGCGCAGAATTAAGATCTCCGATCATATCAGATCCAACCACGATCTACTCCACCCAGGGCATCTTGAGGAATCCGGAAAAAACAATCTTCAACTTTTTTGGACTCTCTAACGGCTTCACTTCTCTAAATGTCGGGGCTGACTGATCCTATAAACAGCTGCATGTTTTATCAAGTGATATTGCATGACGACACCGACAACACCCATCACAACATCGCCATCACAGCACGGAAACCTGTCGTATCCCTCGCGAATCCGAGATCTGCAAAAAACGGACTGGTAGGGCTGCATGTGTAGTGATGGTCATGGTGGTGGTGATGGGATCTTTTGATATCGATCGATCAAAGCCAGTGAACCCGTGTCTGGCGCACCAGTATGCGTGAAACGATACTTTCCAAAGAAATATAGTGAGAAAAAAAAATATTCAACGGCGTCGGCCATACGTTTTGTTTTTCTAGCTCTGTTTTGCTTTTCTACTCGACGGATAGGATGGTGGTGGGCTGTAGATAGATGTGGTGAGTGCACGTGGGCGACTGCGTGCATCTGTATGGACGCTAGGGGTCTGGAGGTTATAAAGCTAGGTAATAATTATATATCCCTTAACAGCGTACGATATAATATGGAGCGCAAGAAATAAGGTATATTTGATTCCACTGGAGTTTATAATAGGTAGCTTCAGAAGACCTCTATCCTAAGAAGATGAAGTATAGAGCCATCGAGTGATATTCTGTGATTACATCTAAACAACTATCGTTATTCTCTCTACGACCGACAAGATAAGGCTTAAGTAATTACAGCCCAGTATCAGAAGTAAAGCCGACCGGCCAGACTACCCATAGGTCCAGATCTAGAGATTCCACAACATATATCCACCTCATCGATGGAGAATCACAATACCGGCGTCCAATAAAGAATACACTCCATCACCGCCAGCAGGTGCATCGCGAGTTAATATCAAAGCATATTTTCAAAACGACGTTCGGCTTCGCCGATAATAAAGTGTTCACCGCAATGTAGCACCACATTGAACACTCTGCGTTTGCAGAGTACCTATATGTACACAGGTATGACAGAGTGAAGGAAAAAAGGGTCGAGTGTCTCCGGGCACGCGACTCGACGGAGATTTATATGGATGGAGGAATATTTGGCTAAACTGCCCATGGTACTCGCGTATCGTATTGTATCGTGTTACAAACCCGCACCGAAACTCCCGGTGGCAGCACAGAGCGTGTAGCCGTGACAGATAGCGATTAATACAATTCAGGCGGACAGACAGGCCTTTAAAGCCCACCGCCACCACGCACAGCGGGAAGAAAGGGAGGAAGGAAGGGAGGAAGGAAGGGACGGAGGAAGGATAGATCTCGACGCCCGCCCCGGGCTATCTGCCCGGCGTTCATGGTTGGGTAAATCGTAACTACTGCTGTGTTACGAGGTGCCCGTAGGTGAGATGGAAATAATAAATAAAATAAATAAATAGTGATCTGCCCACCGCTGCTCGTGTTTCACAGCAGGGTAGGGTGGTTGATATGTATTCTCTTTAATTTAACTCGCCTCAGCACGTGGACGTGGGGTTGCTGTCACTGGTACCGGTGGGCCAATCATAGGTTCGAAGGGTCTCGCTTGTTTCACCATCGTAGATTGAGGACTGATGTAAGGAGATTTATTCCTCTCAGAACGTGAAGATTGCGCTGCTTCCTTTGCATGAGACGGATCCATGGACTCGCTGTGGTGGTGATGGTTGTAAGGCCGTCCGGCCAGCGTCGTCAGGCTACATACAGGTACACTCAATGTACTCTGCCCCGATAGAGTACATCGTGCTGTGGTGTCCCGCGTGAGGTTGCTGCTCTATTTACCCTTTCCAACCAACCTCTCTCTCCTCTCATCTGTCAACCGTAAAGTAAAACTACCTAGAGCAAACCTTCTCTCTCCCTATACGACCACTCCTTCCGAAAGCATCCCCTTAACTAGAGACCGCAGAGTACCTGTTCCAGCCGAGGTTTTCCACGACCACTGTCGTCGCGGTTTAATTTCCTTCTCTCTCGTTTTCTAGTTGGGGGGGGGGGGGGGGGAAACCTCGTCTCTTCGATGGCTGGCAGTGGTCTAACTTCGTGGGTGTTCTACTGACTAGGGAGGTAGAGTATGTAGAGTAGACCCAAATTCGTTGCGTGCATATGTTCGCTTGCCAGCAACGTGGGCCAGCGCAACCAACCAGCGCAGGCACCAGCTACTCTAGGTGGTGGTTAGTACTAATTTACCCCCACACACGCACGCCGATGTCTGTCCCTGACTAACGAGGATCAGAGTGAGATTCATGCAGAATATCCTATGGATGTGATAAGGTTGCTTCCGCTCATTCTCTGCTGTACTCTATGCGTCTCGCTAAGTAGTCAGTTTCTTTCGGAATTACGAAGTGGAGTAGGTAGGTAACTATGTAGAGGGGAGCAGTTGAGAGCCGAAGTCGAACGAAAGGTTAGTGAGAGGGCGAGTCTGCTAGGTTGGGGAATTCATAAGTTTGATCTAAAGGTTTAGGATCTGGAGAAATCTAGAGTAGAGATCTTCTGCATGGATTTCTGAGGTAGAGCAGGTTTAGCTTGATATGGATACCAACTCTACCAATAAAGTAAAAAGAGGGGATGTAGAAGGCTCGAGGGTCTCTCCCTCTCTAGTTACGAGATTTGTGTCACAGCTGGCGAGGTAGTATGTGTCTCGGGGAACTCGATTTACTATGTTGAATAGAGTATGGATGTGGCCTTTCAGTAGTAATGAAGTCTCAATATGATGAATTTGATGTCTTGCTTCTGTTTCGTGCAGTAAAGCACTAGAGTCTCACTTTACTCGCAAACACTACACTGAAAATATATCTTATAACATTTGTTTGAAGGGTTGTCATTCTATGAAGACGAGCTCCGGGTTAAAAGAAACAAAAAAATGCTACAAAACCGAGTGATATTTCATGATTGTCATACAAAGAAAGCACCAAACGAACCTGCGGCGTCCGCCCGCCACAGAATTTAAAAAAAGGCTTATTCAATCACCTACTGCAGGGCCAAACCTCGCGTCTGTCCGTCCGAATTCTTTATTTGTCAAAGTGACATGTTTCTCAACGCACTACACGTAAAAGCAATACGAGACTTTTGACTATCCTTCCAGAAAGGGCTAGTTAACTGGAGGGGTGCTTTGCAGATCAGGATTCAGACGAAATCTGAAATTGGGAACTACATGTATGTAAATTAAAATTAAAATTGAGGACAGTTCTAGGGAGATACAAAATTTCTCCAGTGTCAAGTGCTCACTCCCTAATCTGTGCACGTGTGTTCATGATCTAGGCATATAGGCAGCTGTCTAGAAGAACAAATAAGACTTTTGGTCTGTTGCGTAAGAAAGGGCTTGGAAACGTTTCGGAATCCAACCCCAAGACCCCACGTGCCTCCCTCTGCAGGCAGTGGACATGATGTGATGCGCCCTTTCTTCCAGAAGAAATGATGCATTTCACGGATCCCGAACCGTTATCCGCTTTGCTTTCCGCCTCTGGTGATTGGTCCATTCGAGCCAAACAATTGCTGGGCGGGTTAGGGTATTCGGGGAGCCCGCAATTGCGTCTGCCAACCAACGAAAACAGCAGCACGTTGTTGCGCCACTTATCCCACTATCCACTTTCCCATGCCCTCCTCCCTCCTCCCGTGGTTGCCGAACCGACTTGGCTTGGCCGAAGCGGCTGGCGAAGAAGAAGGAAGCGTTGATGTTCCGTGGATCTTTATTCGCTGATCAGGACTGCGGCATTGACATGGTGTTGGGTCTTATCTGGACTCTGGAGATACCTATCCCTCATATCAACATGCGGTTTCCTTTGGCTAGGGCAAGAAAAACGCCACCCTCAGATCTCTTAGGTGCCAGCCAAGAAGGTTGCGCGATCGTAGACGAAAGAGTTAGCCCTCCAAACGATCCACAAGGAGAAGAAAAAATCACTCGGGTAGGTAGCGGTTGTGGTGAATGCGGATAGGTAAAGTAGGTAATCTAGCGAGAAAACGAATTCAAAGCATCAACCCCTGCACACAGCACTGCTTGACTTCTGGGCGACATATGTCACCCTCACCTCACCTCACAGCTTTCTTTCATAGAGTAACTAATCCCAGTTCCAGGTTGCCGGAACTCTCTCGTTTGCAACCCACATTTATGCCCCGGTTGGTGCCGATGCTGGTGTCAGAGGTCATAGTTTATCACTCACTTTTGAGGGAGCTGCTCTCGGTTGTGGCAAAACAAAGCAATTGCAATCGCACAATCGAGCCCTCTCATATAGAGCGGCCGGCGAAATACGATATCACGCCCCGCTCTAGATATCATCATCATCGTATCGTGATCGTCCACCTTGACTTAAAGCCCTTTCAAAATTTGCCGTTCCAGAGTTTGAGCAAAGCTCCCGATCATTGGATTACCAGGAGAGTACTTTTTTTTTGACTGTAACACGCGGAGATTCACCCGTTTATTTTCCTTTTTTCTGTGTTCCTTTCGTATGTGGGGAAAGGAAGGGAAGTAAGTCAAGGGAACAGCACCAATGGGTTGGATTTGGTGACAACTTTGGAATTGACCGCGTTTGGCGGGGTGAAAGGTGTAGTAACCTTTGTCATTTGTCTGATCTGAGGTGAGACTGGTTGGTGGTTGGTACGTTATTTTTCGATCGATGTTTTACAATCTAGGTACCCTATGTGCCCCACTCAAATTGTATGATTCCTCTACAGAAGTAGTCTGATACGCGGAGAGGATAACGGGGGGGTTGGGGGTAGATAGAGTAAACTTACGTGAAGCCATGACGGGGGGCGACGGGGGGAGTTGATCTCGAATAACCGTGCAGTCAAGACAGTTCTTCGCGAAAGCATTGGCAATATTGGCATTGGCATTGGCATTGGCATTGGGGAGGTGGGAGCAATGCGCCTTATGTACCAATTCTTGGCCCCTTGGCGAGTGAGTTGGAATGGACCAATGAGAGAGTTCCTACAGAGCACGTTGCTAACCCTATCGGCCAGAGCGATTCACCCACGTTTGACAGCTGCTGCAGTGATTGGGCGGCCACCGGGGTCACTCCCGCTACTCTAGAGAAGGTACTGCAGATGCCGGTCTCTTGTACAGCCTCCTTCTGATTGGTAGTGCTTGTAAGTACAAGCAGATGCGACTTGACTTTTCTTTTGCTTTACATCCTAAATCTGCGTCCACACGGAGTATCTCGGGGACCGGGGGCAGGTTTCCTTCAGAGTCCTTCTGAATGCTTTAAGGTTAAATAACGACAGGCTCGTCAAAAAAAAGAAATCATGGCGAGAATGGAATTTGCTTTTTCTCACAACTGACTCGGTAATTCACCTCGTGCCCAGCCATACACAAAAAGCTAAAACTAGAGTACATATATTCTTGGCGCCAAGAGACCCACGACCTCCCTATCTTGAAAGGAGTTTAACCACTCTTCTACTCTACCTGCGGAAGAAAGAAGGAAAAAAACTTCATTAGGGACTGCCGCCACCAACAGCTGTAATAGGAGAAAATTACCGCCAAAACTCGAAAAATTGGCTATCTCCGGCCAGGGATTATCACTCGAGTGATTGGTTGAATGGCATCAGAAGTTTCCCATACAAGTAATTTTGATCTCTGGAAGCTAGCCAATTTTTCGAGTTATGGCGGTAGGCTTACCGAGCTCATCAACTCGCCTTTCTTGGCTTTATACACGTGCAGTGTAACTTGCCTTGATAGGAGGATCGAGGGAACCACCACCACCTCCGCCACCGCTGGGGGGGAAATTTTTTAGATATGGATCATATTTTTTGACCTGGGAAGGGTGGCAGTTTATTTAAAATTCCAAATTGAGGAATTAATCATAGTAAGTTTGCTGATTATCACTGGTTTGTACTAGAATGGGAGATGCCGGAGCGTTTCTAATACCCTTATGACAAGTTTTTAGATATATGATTATCTTTTGATATGGGTACAAGAGTATACCCATAACTATGATCATGATATCCACTGTACATACTCTAGATATGACGGCCCGTACTAGAGAGAATAGACTAAAGTACAGATCTGGAGAGGGAATCTTCTACTACCAGTAGGGCTAGTAGGGCTAGATTGGGTATTTGCCGCTGCTAATCTCAAGGCTAAAATATCAATGGAAGCAAGGATAAACACATGTTCTACCAGGCAGGCAATCCTGCAATGTATCCTACTCTAACCCCCCGGGCTGCTTGCAGATATGTGCACCACCCATGAGCTCGGTACCTACCCCAGTCTCATATTACAACTTTTTTTTCAGGCTTACTGCCCTTCTAGGCACGACTAGAATTGGGGTCCCGCGGTAGGAAAATCATGTGCTACCTACATATAATTATTCCGAAAGCTGGATAGGAAACTATGCGCGTGGGTGGTGGGGGATTGGCCAACCCAGATTGTACATGCACTTGGCGAACATCAGCCCAGCTTTAAGAGACTCTCATAAATATGTCCTGCCTCTCGCATCCATCAAGACCTTTTTTCCTCTTCTCTACTCAGAGTCTACCAGTCAACAGCAACAGCTCAAAGCCGACAAAAGGGTCCTGCAACAAGAACGAGAAGTTCTCCCTGCAAAACTTTAATACCCACTCCTCTGACTGAGATTTTCTCAGCCAACACCAACAATCAAAATGGGCGTTGGACAAGCTTTCCCCGAATATGACTACATCTTCGCAATTGCGATGCTCTTTGCATTCTTGGTGGGTTTGCACTATAAACTTCAATATCATGGGCTTGTTACTGATATTGTTGGGTTCAATAGGATGCATGGAACATTGGTGCCAACGATGTAGCTAACGCTTTCGCTACTTCCGTCTCTTCCAGATCCCTTACTCTCTTGCAAGCCATGTTGATCGCCTCCGTTATGGAATTCGCCGGTGCATTGCTCGTTGGTGCCCGTGTCGCCGATACTATCAGATCTAAGATTGGTAGGCCCACCAAAGGAACCATGGATATGATGAGTGGAATGATGGCTAACATTTCATTACAGTCAAGGTTGATCAGTTCGATGGACAGCCTGCCGTCCTCATGTTGGGAATGTTGTGCGCCTTGGTCGGATCAGCAACATGGCTTACAGTTGCCACATCTATCGGTTTGCCTGTCTCCACCACCCACTGTATCGTCGGTGGTATTATCGGAATGGGAATTGCAACTGTCGGTGCCGAGGGTATTACCTGGGGATGGGAAGGAAAGGGTGTTGCCCAGATCTTTGCATCTTGGCTCATCGCTCCCGCGCTTGCTGGTTCATTCGCCGCTATCCTCTTCTCAGTCACTAAGTACGGAGTTCTGAAGCGCGAGAACCCCCTCAAGTGGGGTATGATTATGGTCCCGATCTACTTCGCCATCACCTCCGGTATCTTGACCATGCTTATCGTCTGGAAGGGTGCCGCCTCTTTGGACCTTGATGGCTGGAACACTGCTCAGATTGTTGGTACCATTCTCGGAGTTGCCTTCGGTGTTATGGCTCTCTGTGTCGCCTTCTTCCTTCCCTACCTTCATCGTCTTCTTGTCCTCGAGGACTGGAGTCTCAAGGGATGGGAAATCATCTATGGACCTCTCCTCCTCCGTCGCGGCCCCGTCCCTGAGCGCCCCTCTGGTCACGTCGAGGTTGTCAAGGACTACTACGCCGGTCACGCTACTCGCGATGAGCTCGAAGCCCGTAAGTTGAAGGACATTGAGGCTGGTGAGCCCACCAACTCTGATACTTCTAAGCACGCCGCTCAGGTCGATGGGAAGACTCTTGAAGAGGTTGAGAAGGCCGATGTTGGCCCATGGTACACTCCTAAGAACCTCATGATGTTTGCCTGGAACGCTTTCATGCATGGTGTCCGTATCGATGTCGTTGGCGAACAGGGTCGTGAAGACTTCCTCTCTGGTAACATCACTGACACCCACGCCCGCGCTGCCCACTTTGACAACAAGACCGAGCATCTTTACTCCTTCCTCCAGGTCCTCACCGCTGCTACCTCCTCATTCGCCCACGGTGCTAATGACGTCGCAAACGCCACCGGACCTCTCGCTACCATCTTCTTGGTCTGGAAGACTGGACATGGTGGAAGTAAGGCTGATGTTCCTCTCTGGATTCTTGCCTACGGTGGTGCCGGTATCGTCATTGGTCTCTGGACTTACGGATACAACATCATGCGCAACCTTGGTAACCGTTTGACTCTGCACTCCCCATCCCGTGGTTTCTCCATGGAGCTTGGATCTGCCATCACTGTCGTCTTGGCCACCCGTCTCTCACTCCCTGTCTCGACCACTCAGTGCATTGTCGGTGCCACCATGGGTGTTGCCTTCTGTAACGGAGACTTCCGCGCGCTCAACTGGAGAATGGTCGGATGGTGTTACGGTGGATGGATCTTCACACTCCCCATCGCCGGTATCATCTCAGGATGTCTTATGGGTATCATCATCAACGCTCCCCAGTGGACTCCTCCTGCCAATTAATTTTTCCACGGTCTTTTTCAGTTTTTTTTTTCGTTGCTCCCCGCATAGCCCATTAGATGGCTACATGTAGAGCGAAACTTATATATACCTGGTTACTGGTTACTGGATAATTTCTTATTTTTCTTTTTTTATTCTTTTATAGATATTTCAGCCCTTTATTTTTGCTCATGTTGTGGTCTTTCAAACAAAAAGAGGAACGATGTACTGGTTTTGGAATTAGCAACAATATAAAAAAAATATCTTGTGCTAGATCTTGACTTTTTACCGTTTCCTTTTTCGTTGCTTCCAGCTCAAGGTGAAGACGAAATGGATGGTTTATCTTTTTTTTTTTTTTATATTTCTAGTCTATATTTTTTTTTATGAATCTTTTCAACTTTTCTTTACCAAAATAAAATAAAATCAGGGGCGGGGGGAATCTATTCAAAGCAAACTAAAAAAAAAGAAGAGGCCTTAGCTGTGCCTAGAGATGATCGTGATGTCTCTTTGCAAACTAAACCAATTACACATGCCAGCCTCACAATCGACCTGGTGCAAATGCCTTGGCTGATCTTGGTATTGTATGTTGTGCCAGATATCTGTCTGTACCCCACGAAATGGTGCCACGCTGGATTCGCAACCAGACTCGTGGAGCGCTAAATCCCACAGTTTCAGACTTTCTTTTTTTCTGCGCGGGGACCTCCAAGGCTGCTTTGACCGCTGAGGAGGTGGTTAAGCTTTGAGGCCGTTTGTGGTGGTCAGTGTGGTGTGGTGTGGTGTGGTGTGTGTGGCGCGGTCTCAGGCGGGGACGCTGTACGGCTGCGGAGGCGGGGAACTGAAGGGGAAATTTAGACATCATTTTCTGAAATTCTGAAGAGGGAGTAAAGAACAGGGTTTTCTCTGCTTGATAGGTATGCATTGATAGATTCTGTTGTGAAAACGGCGCTGCGACGTTTAGCTGCTGTCTATCAGACCAGCCCGGTATAGGAGTACTTATATACATGTAGTAGACCAAAGGGTGGAGATAGCCACATGTATCTATTGAGTGCTTGGGTCTCAATTACTGTTCGGCGGGCGGGGGAGGCAGGTTGAGGTTATGTGGTTGTAGAGGTGGGTGCTACAGGTTTTCTATACGGAGGTGAAGTGGAAGATGATAGATGAGACCGACCAACTTCCTAGCTGAGTCAACGGGACGTGGCGGAGAAAAGATTGTGCTCCTGAACTGCTCTGGATAGCAATTGTGCTCTACTAATCTAACACAGACCCCATCTAATAGATATGTTTTTGGTATAATTAATTACGCATGCATGTAGGTCCATATGGCTTGGCAATGCCTATCAAATCAACATATGGGCAGACTCAAAAAGAAAACCTCCAAGGGAATCTAGAATTTTTGTTATAGATCCGATTCTCAAGTACGGCATCCAGAGGCAAAAGTAATTAGTGGCCTTATCACAAGCTACATGTAGTTAAAGCGGAAATCTGCCAACCACGGATCATACCCACGTTCACGGTAGACTAGCTTGCACTGCACACACGGCTCACCGCAGATTTGAGCATACAAGGACTTGAATTACATGTACCTTTCTGGCGGCGAAAAACCCAGCTCGCCTAACTTTGTATATACACGTATACTCTTGGCGGTCTTAAACTTTTAAAAGCTCTTCTGTCTTCCTTCCTTTCTTTTTTCCTCCCTTCCTCCTAGTCTAAACCTTCTCGTGCTTTGATACGTTTGAACACGATAACTACATGTACATCTATTAGTGAAAACCCACATTTGAAATAGTTTCGCATTCTGGGATGTATGGATACACATGCTCCGAGAGTCCGAAACAAATTCATCTGTGTGATCTTTTTCGTTTGGATTTGTGGGCTTCTTCACTGATTTGGGTAATTGATATATTCTTTTGGCTCCTGTAAGATTACGAGGAACTCTTAGAACTCTTCCCCTAAATTCTATTTGATAATTCTAAAGCTGTTGGTGTGAGTTGATGTATTCTAGGTTCGCATCGACTTATCCGTCCCGCCGTACATTATTCCCAAGATTACCATACAAAGCTTTAAATATATCTACTCTCAGCCGCCTCATACCTTTTGTTACTTCCTCCTCTCTAACGCGAAATACCTCACTTCATAGCATCAGTTTTATACACTTCCATGTATACACCGGCTTGATATACAACCCAATGGCTATAAACATTGAATAGCAAAATCTTCCAGTGTAGCCTAGCTAAGTTGCCTCTCTCTTGTCCACCAACTATCGCTATTTACTGTTACCTTTTTGGTTAGATATGCTCCCTCAAACTCTTACTAGTCTTAAACTCAATGATAAAGGATTGGATTTTATCATCCCTAAGTATCCCCCTCTCTTACCCCTCCCACCATTTCACAATCTCTCAACAGCTATACTAAATATAGACCGTAGATGCTACATGTAGTTTTCCGTACACAAAGACCTTTCTAAAACATACAAACTTAAATCCATCGTAGACAACGCTAGAGTCACTGCCAATCACTCGTGTACGGATTTGGAATGATAATATTGGCTTACATAATATTTAACACGCCAAGCTGGTTTGGTTTTTTTTTTTTTGTTTAATTCATTAATTGCATAAGCTGGTTTGGTTACAAACACCTACAAGAATTGATCCTAGTTGGATATCGCCTCCCGGAATACAGCTTCACCAAGTGCTCTTTCCTATTGAAAGTGTAACGGTATTTCCCCCTTTTTTGGAGATGTTGAAATGTTGGCGGGTCTGATCCGATAACTAACTAGGTATTGATGTCAAGGGTAAGGGGCGGATTTGTTATGGAGTTCTGATTACCCTCTCAAGTACAGCTCATAACAGTATCAGGATTCCGCAATCATTGAATAAACACCCTTTGCTACTCTTATCCACTGGCCTTCGAATACAACCTCGAAGAACTTCATTCAATAATGCAAGTATTTTGTGGTATTAATTTGCCTGTATGTATGTACATGTAGTGCCTAGTGATCTTATAGCGAAATAGTGCTGACATATAGATGGATACATTAAATTGTACCGCCGAAGACGTATTCACCCCTAATACTGGGTGCTTAAAGCCAAGAAAAAAGACAGTAAAAACAAACCAGATGGAAATCTGGGCGATATCAAAGATTTGATATCGAGCCAACGTCACACGGAAAATCACCTGCCATATACATATCATGCTTGATATTGAGAATATCAGCTGACTTCTTCCTCCAACGTTCACCACTCGAGAACTCCGCAAGATCGAATGCTACCACCCGTCTCCACGGTTGCCTAAATTTCGTCTCCCTCAAATGATCTTCTCTCAGTCGACAACATGCCTACTTCTGCCAATAACTCCTCTTCGGCCTCTACCCTCTTTCTCTGTAGCTTTGCCATCTTCTCTTCCTCATCACTCTCCGCCTGTGTCTTTCCAGCATTCATTATGCATTCTACAGCATCTGAGCGCTTCTTCTCAAAAAGTGTCTTGTCCCAATACCCTGGCCCAAAGAGACACAGGATCCTTTCAGCCATACGAAGATGCTCAAGGATTACATAGTCAGGGATGCAGAAACTGCGCGGCGAAAAGGACGGAATCATTTGTTTCCAGGATGTGATAGTTGGTAGCGGGTTCATTTTCGATGGTCCGGAGAAAACAAGCGTTCTTTAATTAATTTTGATCGTCAGTGGGACAGTGTTCTCAGAATGATTACTAGGTGATGGATAAAACTCACTTATAATTTCCTTCGAGGAGTCGGCATTGAACTTCCATGCCGAACATGAACCCAACGGGTCTATCCCTCTTTTTAGTACCGTCTGTAAGTTTAACCTCGTTACGCCTCCACCTTTTGACCTCTTTCTTCAAGAGGCTTACTCTTAATGACGTTTGCTGTTTACCGAGGAAGTCGCTACAAGCCTGAACAACCGAGCATTCAACCCAGGAGTATAAGGCAGCCTGTTGGAACGGACCGATGGAGATTGTGGGATTTTCAGGATCTAGCATCGCCTTCCCCAGTTTAGACTCTGGGTCGTATAGTCTCACTTGGTTCGTATTGTCGTTTCCGTTTGGGTCCTCTGCTGAAGCATCGTATTCCCAGGGTAAACGCCCAGAATCTGTGATATCTTCGCCTGTAGGGCGTTGAAGAAGCGAGACATTGGAGGCTTCGCCAATACTTTGAAAAGGGTTACTGTAAATTTGCCCGGCCCCAGGAATAGGACGGGCAGTGTTCAAAATATCTGACGTGGACCTGCTACCAGATAGCTGAAGTGGGTTTCCATCATGCATTGGCCCCGAGATAGAATTTTTTTCGATCGGTCTTGTCCTAAACTTGGATGAAGGCTTTGAATTATACTGTTGTGATTTTGTGGGGCCCTAGAACTACCGTCAGAACATGCACATGTATCTCATTGATACTTTAACACACCTTCCATGTCATATTGATACCGTCGTGGACAGCCCCACGAAAAGACTTCAGAAATGCGGGCCTGCTGTCACCTTTGGCGTGGATCTTCTGAATTTCATCCGTTGAGTCCCTTCCAAAACTGGGTATGTGCACAGCAAATGTGGGACGATTAAAGTTGCCGAGAACATCTATCTCCTCTTCTTGGATGACCTCTTTTGTAACCGTAAAACTAGGTTGAGTGAGGTTGAAACTATAGTTGACATGTGTGAGCAGTGTTGTGGAAGAGCAATTGAAAACCTTGGGCGGTTTTTTGTGGGGATTAGGGTAGGGAAAAGATAGAAGTAACAAAAACGAAAATTTCGGATTCTGCTTACAATTTTGTTGTAGCTCCTCGATCCGCAGGAACTTCTCCGATTCCGCTTCTGGATTTGAACTTGTATGAGTTTTCACCATGGAGACTCTGCCTTGTTTGAAAACTTTTCCTCCCCTCACCAATATGCTTATTCTGCCAAGCTAAATTCTCATTGAAATCCTTAGGTTGCTTGGGTCTCACAATACCTCCTTCAGGCTGGTATGTATGGGACGCGCTGTCATAGGGGTTACCTGGGTCATAGTCAGGATGGGCTTTTGGTAAAGCACCTTTAAACCGCATATCATTGCTGGTTTCTGGGTTGTTATGGGGACTGTCGGAGTTGAATGAATATACTGAGGAAGGTGAAGCTTCCCGTTTAGAACGCCTGTTTGAAGTATCCGGAAGATGGCTGTTTGGTGATTTCATAGAGTTCCCAGCCAAAGCACCATATTCATCACGGACCTCTTCGATAGGCCAGTTATTTTCGGTGTACTTCTCATGATGAGTATTACTACTATAAGTTTCAAACTCTGGTAAGTTCAAAGAGGCATGATGGCCTCTCCGGACATCTGAGTTCTTAGAATTCACCCCATTATTAGCGGTATCGACAGGAATGTCTGGGAGACGGCTGTAATAGCCAGAAGCCGGATCAACATCGCCTGGAGAGCTGCCAAAGCTTCGCGAAATGGTAGTATCGCTTGGGAGAAAGGGTCCCAGCGAAGACCCATTACTGTCAGGCTGGGTAGCTCCCAGCGAGGGAGTATCCTTATATGAGGTTATAACCCTCTTAAAACCAGTAGATGTAAGCCTGGTTTCATAGTTTTTTGTGGCCATGATACTCTCAACGTCTCCATAGGGTCTCATAAGAGTGGAATTATTTTCAAAAGAATCCCCTTCCCTATGAAAATTATCAATTGATGATGCATGCAGGAATGCTGAATCGTTTATTAAGAGGCCCTTTGATACATCTTTATGTTCAATAAGTCTTGAATCACTAGGACCTTCATCCCCAGATTTGGGCGATTTGGGCGATTTGGATCGGATATATACCACCTTTGCTCTAGTATGAGTCTGGGGCCGAGCTGGAGTTACAAGGTCCCCCCAGTAATTTGCGTCACTATTTGGTAGGGCCTGAGAAACTCCTTCTGCGTTAAACTCGGAATTTTCATCTTCCGACTTTGCTTGAGCTGCGAGTGAGCCTCTAGAAAGATTGTTCCCCGTTGTGCTGCTCTCTTCTGGTATTTGATTTTGGGGTTTGTATCGCCAGCGGGACCATATTTCGGCTCCAGTGTCTGTAGTGCTTATACCCATTGTGTAGAATTCCTTTGATAAGGCCAGCATTACAATACCCTGATGTCGAGGAGCAAACTCTTGTTGGATAGCATCTTTAATAATCTGCATACCTTCATCGTATTCACTGTATCTGGAAGGAATTGTATCGAGCTTATTCTTTATCCAAGATTGTAAGGTGCTAATATCTCGTGATGGACTCCTTTCTTCGCCAGTATTGACTGGTGGGGGACGAGGCGATGTGGGTTTTTGATGAGAAGATTCCATCGCTGTTAGATTTATGATAGAAGAGAATTTGCGGATAATTTGGGTGGAGATGTTTATGAGGTATAGATATATAGAAGTTTGAGGTAATGGGATGATTGGTTTAATGTGAAGGTTGGGACAAGCAGTGTGCAATACTGAAACCAACTCAATGAAGGGTAGGACTGACAATAGGTAAATTTTATAAACCAGCTTTGAATGGCTGCTTTCCATAGAATGAAAAGAGTACGTCACACACAAATACTTAGGGTAGTTTTTTTATTTTTTATTTTTTTATTTTTATTTATCTTTTTACGGTTGACCGAGCTTGCGCTTGCCCTACCCAGGCGGACGGCTCAATCTACCCCACCATCAACGATTGCCCACTACCACCAGCATCCCTTAACTCCCCTCTTCCCTCTTCTCCTTCTTTCTTCCCTCTTATTCCCGCTTCCCTCTTCTCCCTTCCCCCCTCTCCCCCCTCCTTATTCCAATCATCTCACAACATCGCCATCATCGCTGTTGCTTCATCTATCTACTACCTCGATAAATCTTAAATTCATCTCCGTCATCTACCTTTCATCACCGAAAGCTTCTCTCTACCATCTTCTACACACTTTTCTCTGAGGTGTAATCATCTACGTCTTGCCTGAGCTCTTTGTTTTTCTAGACCAATTTGCTTTTTCCTTAGGTTAGTAAATATTCTTGATGACTAGTAACTGAACTTCATTGATTTTTTTTTAGCTCATATGGATAAAAATCCTGGCGGGTTACCGTCTCGTCGGGGCTTGATGCCAACAGCCCAGCCCTTCTATCCACAATTATTCGCTCCCACCATGGTGCCGTTTTATGATCAACAATACCAACCAGGAGTCCTGATACCCACAATGAATCCCAATGGCACAACAGCAAATTTTCCCCTTTGGCATTCGGGTCCTCACCCCGCACCTAACTTTTATCCATACTATCAACAAGGTTTTGGTACACCACTGCATGCCCCACCCCACCAAGAACAAAATCAAGGCTTTGTTCATCCTCATAGTGAACATATAAATGAATATCCTCATGGTCAGTAAATTAACCCGTGACTTCCGGGATTATTTCACTAATGTTCTTCAGATGGCCGAGAGAGATACTCAAATTCGAGAAAATTTGAATTTCGGCAGAATTATGGTCAATATCCTCCCCTAGGATACATGAATGTACCACAAAACACCCCAGACTTGACATATGTTGAGCAAGTCCACCATCAACCTCAATTAAGCTTATCTGGCCCGAAAGATAAAAGCCTTCCCACAAAGTCTATCCAACTAAAAAGGAATAGAGGAAATACCTTTCCAGGAACCACCTCTCCTGCCCCCAAACATTTTGAGGGCTCGAAGAAACAAGACTGGAATATCCACTGCAATCAACCGGATTTTATGCGGAGAAACAAACAGAAGTGTGGCTCCTCTGGTAGCAAAAGTCCACTTTCCAAAGTGACCGAATCAAGTAGTAGTATTTGTCATTCATTAAACCATGATACTCCTAATATAAACAACAGAGAAGAGAACTGTAACTCGTTCGCAAATCAGTATGCAAGGGATTTCCCAGCCTATTCTCAGGACGCCCGCCAAGAACGAAGAAAGGTATACGTACAGGCTAAGGGAGATAGAAAACCGATCCCAGCTACATTTCGAAAGCCAAAGCCATACTTTGCAAGACAAAGTTTACTTCCACCAGCCTCAATCATCCACTGGGTTGAAGTTAAGAGTAGAAGTAAGGTCAACAATGCGCAAATTGATCAAAATGGAAGTCCTAACCAGAGGAAAACATTTGACAATTCTGAGAATCAAATTCCACCTTCAACTTCCAATTTCTACGCGGAAAAGCCATATACACCACCAGTTATAGTCAACTCAGGTCCAATCACTATAAAGGAATGTCTAGAGGTTCACTCTAACTTTATACTAAACCCGAAAGCTTCAAACTTCGAAATGGTGTCAAAAAGTACCTTCCCAGAGGCTTCTGGGGGAGATGAGTATATTGGTTACTATATGACTGAAGATGAAAACAAGTTTCAGGATCCTACAGAGAATGTTTCTGTCATTTCACATGATGACCACCCGATGGATTGGCAACTACCGGATAACAACACAGTTAGAAGGATCCCCAAAGAGCTTATTGAAAGAGTTCCGGGTAAGATGAATTGGGAGAATGGTGCTTTCAATATCATTAGGGAAGATCGTAGTGTCAGATCCTGGGGAAGCTGGAACTCCGAGGATGAAGCGGAGGTGCAAGCACGCCTGGCTGCAACAGGATCTTCTCCATCTCTACAAGGAAGCGAGAAACTGAACCTGATCTCCGAAGAAATGAATTCTTCTCTTAACACGGGGACATTAAATGAACAGTCGGAGCAGGTTATCAATAATAACCAAATAGAAAACACACATACAATTGACGGCGTTCGGAGCGTCGAGAGTAACCACGAGCATCTATCAAAATTGTCTGGGTTACAGACAGTCATAAGCCAAATTCTCGGGTCCACTGAGGCTTTGAACTGCACAAAGGGGGTAGAGAAAGATAATGTCGGCGTTTTTACTGGAGTTGAAAAGATGGATAACGGATTTAGCAACAGTACTGCCGGCCACGATTCTAAAAATTATACTGAAGGAATAAAATATGAAGGAAATCCAACGCAGTCTCAGGCCTTGGGAGGCAAAAAGCCTAAGACTAAGGGGAAAAAGAGAAAGAAGGCAGGCTCAATTGCGCTTCCAAAAAACAAGCTAGAATCAGAAGTCGAAGAAAAGTCACATATGAACGACAAACCGAAACCAGAATTACCCTTAACAGCTATACAACCAGTTCAGACACAAGTGATGTCGACTGATCCACCAGCTGCTTTAAAAATGAATGAGCACTTAAACATGTCGACACCCCTTCCTGCAAAGGAAAACCTAGAAATCACAAAGATCGCGGTCACTAAGGATATTGCACGACCGGTATTCAACTACCGTGATGCTTTGCTTAAGAAGGTGGAAACCCCAAAGGTCTCACCTGTCACTTTACCAAACCCTCAAATCCAAAAGACTGCAAACATTCTTTCAAACCCCCAAACACAAAAGATTGAAAAGGGCACCCCCTCAAAACCCATCATTCCTAAGGCTCAAATCCAGCAAGCTGAACGTGATTTTGGAAGCGGACCCTCTACAGAAGTTGGTCTTCGCCGGAAGTTTTTCTTGCAACCCATACCAAGTACGGTCACCTACCATTCGCTTATCCAACAGCTTAGAGGTGGAATGCTCGAAGATATATATGTCTCGGGATTATCACCACATCCATCTGCATGGAAAGGCGTAAGGGGTGATAGCCAAAATCGGGGAGGTGATGAAACTCGGTACGCTCATGTTAGCTTTTACTCGAATGAGGGCGCAAACAGGTTCTGGGAGCTGGTTAATACTGGAAACCAGCAATCTAATTCGTATAGAAGTCTATACGGGGGGTTCGATGACGAAGCACCTGGTTTCCTCATCCTTGATGGTGTCAAAGTTCTTGTCCGCTGGAGACATAATGACCAGCGTCTCGTCAACCCCGCAACATCGAGAGCGGTGAAGGACGAGCATGCCACTAGATGCATTTTGCTACAATTCAATGCTGAAGCTGTCACACAGTGGATCAAAGAGAGAAAGGCAGTGCCAGGAAAACTTGTCAAGAACGAGATAGTATTCAATGAAGCTGGTATTATCAAAAAAGTAAAGACCGATATCGAATCCTGGGGTATGGCGGATTCGAACCTCGAAAATGTTGAAATTATTAGTGCTCAAAATATGCCTAAGTCGACAAGAACGGCAGAGAATTGCGATGATAAGCAAAAGCCAAAAGATATCAAAGTTCTTGTCTCTTTCATCAAAATTTTGAGTGCTGTAAAACTCAAGAGGTTTCTTCTCAACAAACCGGAATATACTAAGGGAGGCTATTGTAAAGTCGAGTATTGCAAGGATGTGTGTGCTGAACCGATCGACAAACTTAAGGCCATCCGAGTGGCTGAATTAAACCCCGTTAAAAACAATACTAGTTCGCGCCGAAGGAGGAATGCGACTCGTGCTACAAAAGAGAGCATCGTCGAAGTAAATGGTGTGGGAAAGAAAATCGTCGAGGGAAAAGATTCTAAGGGCGGTGTGGTGGAAGAAGGCACTATTCTCACTAGCGATCCAATTGGAGGCACTATCGCAAAGGAAGATAAAGGGACGACAGGGAAAAAGAGCGCAGAAGGAGGTCAAGGGAAGGCAGCTGGTGGAAATAAGCAGCCCAAGGAGGGCTGAACAAACCTAAAAAGACAGCTGTTACTGGCAAACTACTTTAGGCCCGTAAGGAAATCGATTCCACAGAGTGTCTGTTCAGTCTTCTTACGGATGGTCGGGTGGAGGTTCGATTGGGTTGGATGTTTCCTTTTTTTTTTTACTCTCCTTTTCTTGTTGATTCATTTACCCGTATGAGTATGATTTAACCTTTTGTCAACAAGCACATGTCCGGAATTTCATTTATAGTCGGATACATGTAGTGTGACAGTTAATTGATTTTTACAATTCAGGCAACAATATCAGAGTTAGTTCACGACTATTACTACCCCATAGCTACATATATAGGAATCTATATTCCAAAATCAATACGAATTATTTTTTTACAGACTCTTTCCACCACATGGGTCAGACTCTAGATGCATATGTTTGTGACCTGAATGAAGCAGTACCCGGTTAGAGTCAAAGATAAATACCTGCCAGCTTACCGTTAGGTGTAACGTGCTACAACTTTGAACTTTGTACTCAAAGGGCTTTCTTGTCTCATGAGGAACGAAGCCTTGGTTGGGCTCGTTGATCGACTTTATCTTACTAAACGTTTCTGCACCTCTTTTGGGAAGCTTACACAGAATGTTCCATAAACAAATGTGCTTAGCGGCCCCCCTTTTAAACGGTTTCAGTAGAACAATAGAACGAAGATCCACCAGGTAGGTTTCCGCGGTGGGAGAGCCCTATGTAGTTTCCTCTAGTTAACACCAACCATTGAAAGCCTGCTTTACCGTCAAGTCAAACTCTAAAGCATCGTTGGGTGTCGGAGTGGTAAAGTACCTAGAGCAGGAAGCTAGACTTAGCGCAATGTGTAGATCTCTGCTTTCAGTTTCGTGTTCGTGTTCGTGTAGTTGCACAAACACACGTAATATATTAATATAGTACTCACGCTGCTACCCGTTCCTTGAAATTGGATTAACGGGAACGCGCAGAAAAACAAATAGAACTCATATTGTATACGCTTCCAGTTGCGTATATTACTCTCCGCTATCTTACCCAATATTGCATAGCATCTTCGTGTTCGTATCATATGTGCAATATCGCATACTTAAGCCCTGTGGTACAAGCAACCGGGCCAGGGTAGTTTAGTTCAAACACCTTAGTGGTTTAGTTAAACACCTAAAGAGTTTATTTAAACATCCTAAACACCAATGTTGTTTAGTGTCGTTTACGGTGTTTAGCTAAACTACCCTAGAGTTGTTTAGTTACACAATGATCCTCATTTTTTTTTCGTGAGGTTTAGTTAAACCACCATAGCATGGTTTAATTAAACACCGATTGTCCCTACGATTTTGGGGGTTTATTTAAACTACTCAATGTAGTTTAAATAAACACCTGGTGTGCCGCTTATTCTTTGGTGTTTATTTAAACCATCCAAAGTAGTTTAACTAAACACCGACTTTGTCGCTTATTACTAGGGGTATATTTAAACTATCCTAGGATGTTTAGCTAAACACCTACAGTCCCAATTCCCGGGGATGGTTTTTCTGTAGTTTATCTAAACCACCCAAAGGTGTTTAACTAAACATTTTTCGTTGAGGTTTGAATAAACTACTCCTAGGTGTTTAGCTAAACACCTCTACTCAGCAGCACACTATTCTCGCTTGATCACGTGACAACACCACACTGCACATCTTACGCATGCATCCAGCTGAGCTGTGTGTACCTGCATACACGTCCACCATCAACACCCCCTCATCATTCATCGATAGATCATCAAGATGTCGTCCTTTGCCAGTAGGATGTGCGATTGCTCTATGTACGGCAATGTGCCCCATCAAGTTACTACCCGGAGTGCTTGGACAAGGCATCTGGCGCTGAAGGCCGAAGACAGGCGTCAAGCTGTTCGATTAGCTGTATATGGGAACGCATTTGACCCTGAGATTCCGGAGCTTGAAGATCGTAGCCCGCCCCTTCCTTTATCACACCCCGTTAATCCGTGGGAACCCCCCTCGAGTCCTGTTCTACAGCTGCGCAATTCATCAGATTCAGTCCCGGGCCCCGCCAGTTCCCGGCCCCCAAGCTCGTCTCCGATTCCAGAGATAGAATACGACCTCCCAATAAATCAAAGTTCATCGCTCTCGCCTTCACCGGCACCTGCAGATGTCCACGCGATTCGCAGCTCACAATCGCAACAAAATCCGACAGTAACCCCTCTCCCACTGTCAGCTACGCAAACAATGGAGTCGGACGTGCCATCACCGGTACATGAGCCCGTTCAATCTTCAGACGTTGATCATGGGCTTCCGCACAATGAGATAGGGGACTTACCACCAGTCGGGGACATATTGTTTACTGCCAGCTCAGACTCAGAAGTCGAGGCGCCAGATCTCGGTGACTTGTTAGCTGAATCATCTTCCTCTTACGATTCCGACGAAGAACCAGCTCTTGGACAGATGAGACAGGGTTTCATAGAAAGCAGTGGTAGCCCACTCGAGGAGTTTGAACCAGTTGAGGAATCGTCAGATGAAGAGCTAGGTCCCGACGTTCAGGAGCCGGAGGCAGACGCAGACTCTCCAGAGCCGGAGTTGGGGTTTGATTACCGTAATCCTACAGGCGATCCCCTCACTAAACAGGACATGTTGTCGATTGCTCTCGATGATATTACCCTAAAGCACAAGATTTCTAGAGAAGCATCGAATGATACCCGGGAGCTGTTCTCTAGTATCATTACCGACAAAATGATGGACTACCGTACAATTCGCAAACAGATTGAAAAGCGAACGGGGATAAAAGAAATTCTTTACGACTGCTGCCCTCATTCCCACATGTCTTATGCTATGTATCCAGAGCTGGAAAGATGCACACATTGCGACCATCCACGTTGGATGGAGCCAAGTTCAAGGACCAGGAACCCACGCCTTAAAGTCCCCTATGCCACGCATAGCTACATACCCGTTGCTCATAGGATTTCCCTATTGTTCTCGAAAGCCGAACAAGCTTCCCTAATGACAACATACAGGTCTATTGCCGAAAAGGATCGCGATAAAGGCTTGATTTCTGATTATTGGTCAGCTGACCTCTTCAACGATATGAAAACTAGACACGGTCTTTTCAGCAATGATACCGACATCGGTTTCTTGTTGAGCACAGACGGAGTGAAAGTCTTTAAGAGCAGACGAAGCTTTAGCATTTGGCCACTGCTTCTGGTAGTTCCTCTAATATTTGTGTACTGCATTTTAGTATATGTTCTGACTTCATTGTATAGGTTAATCTCAACCTACCACCAGCTGTGCGTTTCAAGAAACGTAACATGCTACTATTAGGTTTTATTCCTGGACCGAATAATCCAAAAGATATAGAATCCTTTCTATTTCCTTTAATACAAGAATTCCTGCTTCTCGAGAGGGGTATTCCCAATGTTTGGAACGCCTCTCGCAATCACAACTTCACACTCCGTGCTCATATTTGTCTCGTTGCTGCAGATATGCCTGGCAGGGAGAAGCTGATGAATTTTAAAGGTATTTCGAGTTATTTTAAATGCATACGGAATGAATCCCTACTAACAGCGTTTCAAGGCAATAGGGGGATATGCTACTGTCCATATTGCTATGTACAAGGAGTTTTTCATCGGGGTGTTTATTGCCCGCTTGAACCACCCACAAATCCTGCACCACCGACCGTCCAGGCAAGATACGGCGGCGAACCCCCTGATTTGACTACATATGATTCGTCTAATCTACCTATGCGGGATGACACCCAATCACGCCGTATTGGCCTGCACGTTGTTCAAACTGGAGATGAACATACCGCAAAAAGGTATGGAATCAAAGGTCCTTGCTGTCTGTCACAGCTGAAGTCGATAGACATTCCGCGCAGTTTCCCTCCTGATGCTATGCATCTTTGGTGGGAAAACATCATACCAGACTTGGTGAAACACTGGCGAGGAAGGTTCTTCTCGGACTTAGCTACTGCAAATATCAATGCTGTTGCTGCTGCTGATGAAGGCATGGATACTGATGTTGAGTCGGAGGAATCAGAGGAATCGGGTAGTGACTTGGAAATCGCGGATAATCAAAGTGCACGACGTCGTAGATCTGTTCCTCGAAGGCCAAGAGCACGTATAGCCCGGGGTAGAAACCGGAATACACCTGTACCTTCACCCCCGGCTCCAGCTAGATTTTCAGCAACGAAGAAATTTGTACAAACAGATGATGAGTACAATATACGCCCATCGATTTGGTTAGATATCTCGAGAGATATGGTTGCCAGTGCAAACACCTTCCCAACACTGTTTGGTGACCCGATACGCAATTTTGCAGAGCACTGCCACCATTTAAAGGCTGCGGAGTGGAGAACGTTTGCCTTTCTCTTGGCGCCCATCTACCTAAAGGGTAATCTTCCCGATGAGGATTACGAACATTACCTCAACCTAATAGACGCTATTCAACTTGCCTGTGACAATGAAATCACTGTCATCGAGGTGTTAGCTGTGGGGAGGCGTATTAAAAGGTTTATCCGGTATTACGAAAACCGGTACTACAAAAAACAATGGGAGAGACTGTCTGCATGTTTACCTGTTTTTCATCAGGTTCTACATGTCGCAGACGGTATCAGATGGGCTGGGCCGATGTTCGTTTATTGGCAATGGCCAATGGAGCGCGTTTGCGGAATGATAGCAGCGTCGGCGAAGTCGCGTGTTTCCGCAAACCGCAATATGGCAATTACAATGTTGTTGAACGAGCGGCGTAATCACCTGCCATACGTAATTGCACTCCCGGGTATTGGCCAGGACGGAGATAATTCAGAGTATGAGGATCAGGACGGAAATATTCTCCTTCATCGTTTCTTTGCTAGGCGACTAAAAGCAATATCTACAGTGCCCCCAGACCCAGAAGAGCGTTCTCGCAAACCTCATTTCTCTCGGCCGGCTCGCAAACATACACTGAGTAATTGGGAAAGACGCTATCTAAAGTTCTATCTCCAGGAGCACATTCGTCTGACGGAGGAGGGCTCAATCGAAAGATTTGATATGCAAGTAGCCTTGGATAACTTACCTACTGAGTGTATTAAATGGTCGTCGTGCACAATCTACCATGATCTGGACCCGTTTGTAGTCACTTCTTCAAGTATGAAAAGGGTTAACGCCACAAGAAATTCTTCCATTGTAATGTTCGATTCAAAACTCGAAGAAGACGGGGTGGGATACGGGGAGATTATTTTCTTTTTCAGTGTGGTCTACTCGGACGGTGCTCGTGTTGAGGAAGAGGGCAATGTCGAAAACCGCTTAGATTTGGCGTATGTCCAGCAGTATACAGTGGAAGAAGATGGAAGACTGCTATATCGTTCGAATGTCGGGATAAAAGCTGTTATTCCAGTGGATAATATTGTAGAGATGATAGGACTCATCAGAAAGAATGGTCGCGAATACCTCACTCGTAGATACACCAGCTTATTTTGATAGTGAAATGAAAATTTTTCGTTGCGCTAAGCTCAGTTTGATCGGCGCTTAACTCTTTTTGTAGTTTTTAAGCCCCAGCCTCGTCTAAAATTCAACCTCAACTCCTGAACCGCTCCATCTCTAAATCATCATCTCATCAACCAGCCAGGCATCTACCCCATCAACCAAAGAACAAGAGGTTCGTCAATATGGCGGATCGCGGTGCTAGCAAAGGGGCAAGCGATAGTCAGGAACTCAAGTTGGCAAAAAAAAAAGCCTTCCTCAAAGAGCAACGACGCTTAGCCGAGCTGGAGTGGGAGAAAAATCAGGGGGACGTATCTGGTATGTCATAATCCTCCCCTCCTTAACCTCTCGATCTAGCTCGTGTATTTATAGCTCACTAATAAAAATCGATAAAGATGATGCCGATTCGAACCATGTACCAGAGACGCAAATCGAAGAGACTCAGACTACGCGCATACTCTCCCAAATACGCGAAAGTCCACCATCATCCTCCCACCCTACCCCTAGGCTTTCCCAGGATTCCGAAGGTGACAATGGATCTGCAAGCGAGATTGAGACACCCAGTAGACATGTGCGGAGTAAGAAAGATTTGGCAGCGGAGGTACTGGTTGTTGATACGTCGCGGCCAGCATCACAACCAGAGGAGGAGCCAAAGAAAGAAAAGAAAAAGGCGCCATACAAGATGCGAAAAACTTTAGCATCACGCATGGGACTTGAAGCCAAAGATAATATAGGTATCAGAGAACGCCGCGACTACTTGAGGATGCTTTGTGCGAGGCGAAGTCAGCCATTAACCAAGCCATTCAACAAATTTGACCAAAACGTCATGTACAAACTAGTTAAGATCGTTGCACCGGAGATGAGGGAACAGTTTGGTAGTTGTTGGACGTCGAAACTGACACGAGATGTTATACATGCACTCTGCCTAGACAAAGTCCGAAACTACAATGCTAGGGAACGTCTCTTGGCGGAAAGAGCGAGATTGGCGAAGTTGGCGGAGGAAGCAAGATTGGCGGAGGGAAATGATGTACCCGCCGAATCCGATGCTCACAATAACAGGCAAGTGCCAGAGGAGGATTCTGACGAAGAAGAGGAAGTGGACAGCGACAAAGAAGACGTTGTAGCATCCAGGAAACGAGCCCCCGGCACTATCCCGAAAACTGTCAGCATCAATCACCGTCCGTCTAACAAGCCTAACCCTCCCAAGCACTCAGCACCCAAGTCCTCCGCAGCGAAACAGTCGGCGCCCAAGACCTCTGCACCCAAACAGAAATCTCGACAAACCACCACCCATACTGATGTTTTCCTCGCGGCCACACCGGTAGCAAAAGGGGACAGATTGCCCTTAAACCCCACTCCGATCACTAACGAGTCAGCGTTGGAGGTCATTTCACCGATGACTATAGTGAATATTAGTATGTTCCAGCCTCTCCAACACTACTCTATCGTGTTAACACAATCTAGCTCGGTCTGAAAGGGCCTCCTCATCAATTAGCTCGGCCCCTACATTTAGGGAACAACAAACAACGGAACCAGATGACATTAGCGAGATACTTAGTATCTACATTGCTAACAACAAACCGATCAGGATGCCTGTTATCCGGGGTTTCGAAGGATTTATGTCGGCTATATCTAATGTTTTGACAATTAGCGACAGTGATATAGTTTATTACCGCCCAGCGGATGGCCCCCCTAAAGCACTCATCTGGCGTCCTATTTCAATCGAAGAAGATTTCAGCCGGCTACTTGACTTGTGTGGAGATGGGGTACTCGTGAAGGTTCTCCCTCCAAATGACGATGAGTTCAACTCTGGAGATGAAGGGCCTGCAAAAGTGGTCGAGTTACCTGTGAACTCTAAAACATGGAACAAGAAAGTATATATTGTTACTGCGTGGGAATAAGTTGTGTACTGATATATTGTATGTGCAGAATCATCATATGGAAGGGCTTGGTAAAGGAAAAAACTTCAACAAAACCACGAAGGGCGCCAGGACCGGTTCTGAGGTACAAATTAACCCCCTCCTTCCCATTGATACCCCCAATGGAGCGGAACTCAGTACTCAACCAAACTCAGGAGGACCGGAGCCGGAGCAGGGAAAAGGAAAAAGAAAAGCCGATAAGAAGGCGCCTATTCCCGACGTGATCGCGGAGAAGCGCCCTCGGGGCAGACCGAGAAAGCAGAAACCCGCTGCAACGGACGCTACACCCGCCTCTAACCCAACTCCCACTCCAGCTCCTGCTTCGCCGGTGGCAACCACAAGAGCTGGAAGGGCAACTAGGATGACGGAAAAGGCCTCCGAGACAGCGGCTATAAAGGCTACGAAGAAACAGGTTGAACAGATTGCTAATGTCAGGAGAGATATTAGAAATCAAAAGGCTAACTTCAAGATTCAGTGATCACGTCTCATTAGATTTCTAATATCATTTTCAAGGTAAGTACTATCGCCTCGAAACCAATACATATCAGTGATGAAAATAAACTAACTGCATACCAGATATATCGTTCAGCGCGTTTAAATCATTTCATATTTTCTTATCAAGGAGTTTGTTACGGATATGGATTACCGGCGTATTCAGGATACTGTGGATTGGGTATATACGTATGGAGTATACGATTAGTGTAGGAATCATTAGGGTGGCGCGCATGCATTAATAGGGATACAAGCGGGGCTCTAGCTATAGTATTTAGTGCAACTAGACCCGGCAATAGCTAGAAACATTAAATAATCAGTTAGTGGTTTAGTAACCAATTTAACACGTTTAAGAAATATCTGAGGTGCTTGATTAAACCACTATTGTGCGTGATTTAAACCACGGGTTCGGCCAAGCCCTGCCAATTTAATAACCGAGGGTGGTTTAAAGGTGTTTAGAGGAGGTGTTTAGTAGATGTTTGAATGTGGTTTAAGGGTGTTTAGTAGGTGTTTAAAAAGGTGTTTACTAGATGTTTAAAGGTGGTTTAAAAGGTGTTTATTAGGTGTTTGATGGGCGTTTAGCATGTGTTTCACAGAAGGGGAATAACCGATGAATTTGTAGGTAAATGAATTTTTTTAGTGGTTTAAATTAAGCACCTTTGTGGTTTAGAGTGTGGTTTGAATAAACACCCCATTTTGTGTACGACAGGGTAAGGTTGACTGATCCAGGGCGGATGTGGGAAAATCCGGGTATGGTACGATGACCGGGTGTGCTGCTTCCATGCTGATCAAGGACCCCTGTTTTAGTCGGGGCACGCTAGCTCGAGAGCCTCAACTCTATTTTGATATATATCACGGTTTCTACACACATGGCAGCGCAAATATCAAGTATTCATAAAACTCAATTTTCAATAATATGTCGAACATTACGTCTTTGCACAATCACCGCAGTCCTTACTATCCCCAGGATCTCCGTCTGCCGCATTATGTTCCCAACACCCTCACCACGCCAGAGCTCATCTCTAGATTTGCGGCTTATTGCGTAATGATCGTGATCGGAACTATAATTCTCCTAGGAGCAGTAGCGAGGAAGAGACTTACGACCTATGAGAAGATTGTGGCTACCTGGTTTATGTTGTGTAAGTTTTCCACAAAAATACCACAAAAACATCAGTTCAGGTAACCCAGCCAACTTACTTTTTTGGCGCTGTAGGTGGGTTTATACACCTGTTCTTCGAAGGCTATTTTGGCTACACGGCCTCCAGAATCGCCGGAAACACCCACCTCTTTGCCCAGCTCTGGAAGGAGTATGCCCTTTCCGACTCACGTTACATGTCCTACGATGCCTTCACAGTCGCCATGGAGCGCGTCACCGCTGTACGTTCACCTAGCCCTCTCTCTAAACGCTCTCCTTAAATTTCCCCAAAACTAACAGTGTGGTGTGCAGATATTCTGGGGCCCGCTCTCTTTCTACCTCGTGTACGCCATTGCGGTATCCCACCCGGCGCGATACCCACTCCAGATCGTCGTATCACTCGGCCAGCTCTACGGCGACGTGCTGTACTATGCAACAGCGTCCATCGAGATGTATGGCACCGTTCGACCTGAGAAGTACTATTTTTGGGCGTATTTCTTTTTCGCGAATTTCTTCTGGATTGTGATTCCTAGTGGTATGTTGCCCCCCCCCCCCCCCCTCCCCCCCACACACATATATTGCGGGTGGCTAGTTGGCTAATGAGTTGGGAAATAGCTCTGTTAGTCCAGGGGTTTTTGGAGACGATGAATGTTTTTGCGAAGGAGGGTGAAAAGACGAAGAGGAAGTGATAGATGCGTAGCTGTTATTTGCGTTGGCGACTACATGTATGTATGTAGTTGGTATGTAGATATGTCTGTCAAGATAATTGACTAGTATAAAAGACCCAGTACCTTCTGAGGGATTTTTCATAAGCAATATAATTAGATGTACAGATATATAGAGTGCTTACAAGGAGAGTCCCGTAGCGTGCATGCCTCTAACTCTTTATTCCAAATTCCCAATGTTTAAATTCCCCAAATGATATAAGACGGTAGTTCAGAGTCGAGGGCCGTTTCCTGAATATAATATATATTGTACCACGCTTGCAATTGCGAAGAGCCAGATCAAAATTGTAAACTATAAAGCTACCTGTCAAGTGATATGCACGATGACGGAGGGACCGAGCGACTATATGTACCCCCCACATTGGTCACATATACCCCTCATCAGAATCTCAAAGACCACACTTCATACGCGAAATCATAACTCGGTGACCTAAACTGGCACACATGCTCCCTGTAACCACGTGTGTTTCACAAACCATCACTCGGACATGCTACATTATGTCATCCACCCAACCAGTCCTAACCGGATCTGACAACTCCAAAACACCACATCCATAGACTTCCCGCATGATACCCGTCCACATACAGGTAAATTCTACTCAAAATAGAGATTACAATTGCATTTATCTGCAAATCGATGCACCAGACAGGGCACGGCACTCGTAGATTCAACTAAAATATGGACAAGGATTAGCTCTATGGAACACTAATAATATCGCTACTAATTATTCCGCATTGGGATACATTATTAATACCCGGTAGTCAGTCAAGCGATCTTTACATCTGAGATCTGGCAGTTATATATGTAGATTCCCGGGTGAGGTTTACAAAACCTCGTGAATGCAATCTCTTGTAAGATTGCCGTTACATCCGCGGCCCCTTCCCCCTTTTGCGCAAAGATCCACTTACTACATAGATTCTGGATTTAAAGAAAATATGCACGTAGTCTCGCGCCCGGCATACATCTCCTATTTGGCGTGATTCCGAAATTCTAGTACAGTCGCAACTCGATATGCCGGATCTCAATACGCCGGATCCCTTGTTATCCCGTACGAAATCCTCTGGGGTTTTGGTATTTTTACTGCAAAATCAATTTGCTATCCCGGATTTTTTGCTATCCCGTATGAAATCCTTCGAATCTTGGCAATCCGGCATATCGAGTTGCGACTGTAGTTGTGGCTCACACGGTATAATCATCCACCAATAGGAGAGGAAAGAAACCCTTGTAGGTCTAGAAATGAAGATGTTTATGCAGAACGGGCGGGTACATGCATGACCTTCGCTAGACCAACATGCATGTATAATCTCCAACAGCCATCACTTGCATGACAAATATTGAAGGAAAATCGACCTCAGACCCGCTTCTATACATTCCTACTTTTTTTAGTCGCTTATATGAACTTCTGGCTATTGTTTGTGCTTGCCTTATAGAAATCTGTTCAATTTGAAATAGTTATAGAGAGTGACTCGACCTGAATGGAAAAAATAAAAATAAAAAGTAAAAAGAATATAGCCAAATTGAAGCAGATAAAAGAACTAACATCAGGTTATACCAAAAAAGAAACCATTGAAATCATATCCGTAAAAAAATCCACTATTCCATTTCCAAAACCCGAGGCCTTAATAATAGATGGTGTTTCAATTAGAAACTAGTTGACTCTACAACACCAGTCTCCACGGCCTTGATCTCTCTCTGAGACGGGCCGGAGAAGTGGAATTGGAATCGGTAGTAGTTCCGTCAAGCACTGGGGGTGCGACTTCACTCTGGACGAGATAGGTCTCGTTGGGCTGCATACCTCCCTCCTTTCCTTCAGTAACCTCGGTATGGACGAAAGGCTGGCCCCAGATAGCAAGCTGTGATTTATCCTCTGGGTACTCAACCTCTGTGCTCGTAACAGCGACCTTCAAGGATTTGAGTTCAGAGAGTGGTACACTAGCTCCTCCCTATAAGCACTTATATTAGTAACACTCATTGAAGACTTGATAAACAAACTAACCTGTTTTGCAACCCAATGACACTCTTCTTTTAAGAACTTTACAGCGCTCTCAGGGTCCAGTCCGACTCCTTTGTCGATCAAAACCTGCGTCAATGGAATGCTCGCTTGAATTACATTATGCATCGGTTTATCAGCTCCAAATGTTGCGGATTCGCCGACAAGGTTATCTGCAGTCTTCCAGTCTGCAACATTTTTTGGAATATCACCAACGAAAAGTAGGTTCTGGAAATCTCCGGGAATATCAGCGGTATCAACAGCCATGATGGCGATCCATTCACGGCGAACGGTATCTCCAGATGGTGTTGTAGTGACAGCGCTCTTCAGTGCAGGGCGGTAAAGCTCGTTGACCTTTTCTGTAGTAAAGTTGCGGAGCTCTTCCGTGCTTCTGCTCTGGTATTCTACTGGTACTTCAGGGTAGGCATAGCCGTATGTGAAGATACTTCCAGCAGTGCTAACATCATTTGAAGTCCACTCCGCGCCGTTGGGGTGACGGAAGGGATAAAGGGGTGTATTGATATCGTCCATATCACCTGGTTGGGTTCTTCTGGCAAAGGTCCCACTGGCACTCTGAGGCTCCACTACATTACCAGGCCAGACAGCCTGGTACATTGCGGTTAAACGATCGACATTGCAATGACTACAATTTATATTAGTATTTTCTAACAGAAAAATATGGGCCAAATTAGCTCTTACTGAAGCCAGAAAATCGGGTCAAAAGCAGCATAATCCACGTAGGACATGTGTCCACCCGCTCCGCCCAAATTGGCTAAATCTTTGTATTAGTATAGCCACAGTGTTGCAAGTATAAACCCGCAGAAAGCTTACAGTGAATATCGTTGTGGATAGATTCGATACTGGTCCACGCATTAGGCGCCGAGCCACCATCCCATGCATTACTTGTAAACCCTTGGAAAGTTGGGATCGAGAAAAGATTGTAGGTGTTTTGACGACGGCTGATTTTGGAATAACTTAGCTAAGTTAAGCTATACGTGTGGGCTAAACTTACGAGTCATATGTATTTGCCATTTCCTGATCTGCTAAGGCGTTTCGAGAAGACCCAGACCCATCTGGCTGCCTACGAGTACCAGGAGTGTCACGGAACTAATTCAAAATATAATTAGTATAGGTGGACGAAATCTATCATAAATGAGAATCTTACTATGCCCGCATCAAAGTATGTCTGTCTGTAGTCATCCCGGGTGAAAGTATAAGAGTACAGTGGGTTAGGAATATTGGCGGTAATAGGCTCTCCAGTTCCAGGTGCAGGCTTGATGACGTTCATGGTTTCAACTGTCATAGATGCAGGAAGGTGAGACTTAGTTGACTCAGCAGCCCAATCCCAATATCTAAAATACTCAATTAGCTACCCAGTTACAAAGCGTTAAGATATATCTTGGCACATACGGAAGTCGAACTTTCTTCGCAGCATCTCGATATTTCTGCGCATCCGGTCCAGTAAACTTCTTGGCTTCAGCAACTGCATGGTCGTAAAGAACCTGCTCGATAAGTATCAAGTAGGGACGATGCCATGTTGAAAAAAGTGCGCTAGCATGAGTGCAATAACCACGATTGGGATCCTGGGCGCTACTGATCGGGTATTGCCACGGAATATGGGGAAGACCGTGAATTCCACTAATTTGGTAGTAACTAAGATCTTTCGACTCGTCGACAGCCATCATGGCTTCCAATCCAATCAAGAACATATTCCAAACATCGGGGAACTGGGTCTGAAGCTCATCGATAGGCAATCGTAGCTCAACCTGGGGGGGGCCAACAACGGGTGTGAATCCCAAGTTAGTGGTGCCATCAGTGCCGTCAGTACCATCCGTCGTGCCATTGGTAGTACCATTAGTAGTAACGGTGGTGCCATTCGTGGTGTAAGTACCGGTCTCAACTGGATTATTAATGACAATCACGGTTGTAGCACTGCTATATGGATTTGGGGGAATGTACGTAGGCGCATCTGTGGCCGGAACATATGAAGTTTCACCAGGTCCTGGGACATATGTCGTGGGGATATACTCGGAAGGAGTTGGCTCTACATATGTAGGGAATGCCACTGAGGTAAATTGAGGAGTATGGTAGCTGGCCGGAGGCGTGTAATCAGAAGTGCTGGGGGAGGTGTAAACAGGAATTTTGCTGCTGCTACTGCTGCTGCTACTAATATAGCTTGATGGAGCTTTATCCTCTGAGCTGCTAGAGCTTGAACCATATACCGGAGGTACATAAACAGTTGTATACGCCGAAGGAGTTACAACTGAAGTATACGGAGGTGGAGTATACGCATCCGAAGAGCCTGATGGTGTATATACAGGAGGGCTAATCACAGAGGTATATACATCTGGTATGCTAACAGACGTATATCCAGATGGAACATACGGAGGCGAGTAGACTGATGTGTAGGGAGGGGGGGTATAAACCGAGGTGTAAACAGGAGGTGTATAAAGCTCAGACGATCCCGAAGGTGTGTATGGCGGTATAGTGTATACTGAAGTATACGCAGGAGGACTATAGACCGAAGTATATTCTACAGGAGGTGTATAAACAGAAGTATAGGGCTCTGGGGTGACAATAGTAGTATATGGAGTTGGTGTAACTTCAGTGCTGTAACCAGAGGGCGTGTACGGAGGTGGTGTATAAACCCTCGTGTGGGTAGGAGGAGTGTATACTGAAGTATATCCCTCTGTAGAGTACGAAACAGTAATTGGCGCTGGAGTATATGTCGAGGTATATGGAGGAGGTGTGTATGCGCTCGGACATCCTGACGGAGTATAAGGAGGTGGGGTAAAAACTGAAGTATACGCCGGAGGCGAATACACAGATGTTTCCGCTCTCGCAATTCCGGTAAGCACCAGTGCTATAGAAAGCACGTTAAACGAGTGCGGTCTCATGGTGATGGTCTTGCCAATTCTGAAGACTTTTCAGCGAGTGTAATAAGGTCGCAAAGCGAGTGTCTGTGCCGTGGAG